AGTTTGACTTAAGCTTCAGGTATATCAATGATCTGATACCATTCAATAACAATCAAATAGCCAATTCCCTTCCGCTGATTTACCCACCTGAACTAGAAATAAAGGATACCAACAAGACCGCCTCATCTGTTTCATATTTATGCTTGAAGATTCAGAGTGACAAAACACTCTCCGCAAGAGTGTATGGCAAGAGGGATGACTTCAACTTTCCCTTCATGTTGAGCAATATTCCAGCAGCTCCAGCCTTTGGTGTTTATATTTCAAGGTTACAACACCCATGGCCTCAGTAAAGCTTTCAAAAAGCCTTATGGCAGACACGTGGATGACATTTCTACATTTGACTCATCAGTGACAAAAATGATGTCTGATGCCATTCTCTATTTTGACCTGTACAATATGTTCACGTGTGTTATTTGTTTTTTAAATGTTTTTTTTAGGGTTATTGAGGTGAATAATTGACTTCTTTTGCCTGTGATTGTGATGGGTACCAAACCTTTTTACGACGACCTGGTACAATCACTTTTTGGTGGTGATGCATAAACACATTATATATTGATATATGATATATTCGGAATCGTGCAATATACTCTTCAGTTTTAATCAGTGCTTTTGAAGTCTGAAATCTGGAAAGACTTGAAGACACAAAAATATAATAATAACGTCTGTATTCTTTACACGGTTTCATTAAGATATAATAGATGAATCAGACAGTTTGTGGCCCCAGTCGTAGTACGTGTAGACAGACGTTGTAACCAGTGTATGCCTTCTACAACAGATGTCTGCAGTATTGACTACATAGATGAAGCAGACAGTTTGTGGCCACAGTCGTAGTACGTGTAGACAGATGTTGTAACCAGTGTATGCCTTCTACAACAGATGTCTGCAGTACTGACTACATAGTTCAAGCAGACAGTTTGTGGCCCAAGTCGTAGTACGTGTAGACAGATGTTGTAACCAGTGTATGCCTTCTACAACAGATGTCTGCAGTACTGACTACATAGATGAAGCAGACAGTTTGTGGCCCCAGTCGTAGTACGTGTAGACAGATGGTGTAACCAGTGTATGCCTTCTACAACAGATGTCTGCAGTACTGACTACATAGATGAAGCAGACGGTTTGTGGCCCCAGTCGTAGTACGTGTAGACAGATAGATAGATAGATATTCTTTATTTCCTCCAGATATTGAAGATGCATATCATATATGATATTATGTATAATTACAGAGCTGTACAGTAGTACAATTTAACAATATTATGAGAAATGATAACTTCAAAATGCATGACAATCAAGCATTCTTATAAATGTTTTGTAACAGATACAGCCATTTCCTACAGTATCTTTACACAATAACCATAAGGTCACCCCATAGACTTTGAGATAAAGAGCTAACACACTCAGGCATACCGCCAAGTTGTACAGACAGGATTATACCATCGTCCTCACTACATAGTCTTGCAAATGTAGAGACATCTATCCCTTCACAAATGATTTCAAATAGTTCATTTCTGTCATTCTTATTCAATGTACAATACAAAAAGACATGCTTAATAATATCATGAGCTACAATTCTACATCGACATTCCCTAGATTCTATATTTAGGCATCCCAGCCGTACAAGATGAGACAGGTTTGGGAACTGTTCAGGACGTTCAAGTGCAAGCAGCCAGAGTCTGTGTTGTTCTTTATCATTACGTAGCGAAACATATCTATTTAAGTTAAGTCTAGATAGCAGCTTAGAGCATACAGCTTCCTGGTCTACAAAAATAATCCTTTCCTAACAATATCAGACCATGCCTTTTTACTTGGGAAGCTACATTTAATTAGATAATCTTCTATTTCTGCATAGAGATTGTATTTTTTGACAAGTGTGAGCATGTTATATACAGGTGACAAAGCACATCGTTTTCTGAAGTTATCCAACGCTATTTCGTATCTAAACTGCCCAAGGCGAGTAATAATTCCTTTTTAAAAACATAGCTGTAACTGGACCGGCATAGTTTTCCAAGTAGTTAAAGTGACTGTTTGTCAATAAAGGATTGGAGAGATATCAAGCCCATGTTGTCCACAGCAACAGTACCTGATTTACATTTTGGAAGGCCCTGTATTTTTCTACTGAAATAACGTTGAATAACTTCCAGCATATCGTATTCTTTGAGGGTTAATAGTCCCCAGACATTACATCCATAGAGCCCGCATGAAAGTATCACTCGTTCCCAGATCCTTTTTGCTGGGATTGGATTCATGCCTCCAAACTTTAGTCCAGTATCATTATTACTATTGATTAACATTTTTAACTTTTCACAAGCTAACTGTGTTCGTTCTAAGAAAGACTTATCAGAGCAAATCCTGACACCTCCATATATATTTTAGATTGCTGAAGTGGAACACACATACTGCCCAAGTACAGTGATTGAGAGCAGGTAAATTTACGCTGCACATCAAATATTAGAACAGTGCTTTTCGTGACATTGTACTTAAGCTGCCATTTATATATGCATACTGATTTACAACATTGAGAAGATCTTGAAGGCCTGTTGGTGAGCTACTAAACAGTGTTGTATCATCTGCCAAGAGCTGGCCTGGAGTATGTGTCCACGGCAGATTTAGCCCTTGCTTAGAGCGTTCCAGCTCGCATAACAGATCATTTATATATAATGTAAAGAGCCAAGCAGATATAACTCTGCCTTGACCAACTCCTTGGCGTACATGAAAGAAGTCTGATCTATAGCCTGCAAAGCTGACATAGGAGTACATAGACATATAAGAGCTACGTAGTATTCGCCATGTTTTACCCGTGATACCAAGGTCATAAAGTTTTAGAAAAAGTCCATCTAGCCATACCCTGTCGAAGGCTTTTTCATTATCTAGAAATGCACAGTAGACTGGAGAACTTCTTTCATTGCAATATGCTATTGCTTCTAATAGTGTGATTGCCGCTGTGTCTGCACCTGCATTCTTGCGAAAGCCAAATTGGAGAAGTTGTGGGAAATTACAGTTTTTAGTTACCCAGGATTCGATTCTGTTGAGTATGAGCCTTTCCAAAAGTTTACCAAAAGCAGATGTCATAGTTATTCCCCTGTAATTAGCAGGATCCGACTTGCTTTTACCATGACCTTTATGAATTGGGAGGATTTGACCTATGTTGTACTCACAAGGTATATATTCATAGTGCACAATTGCATTGAATAAAACCATGAGATGGTTATAAATAGATCTACCTGCTTTTTTAATATGCTCGTTTGAGATTCCGTCATGCCCTGGTGATTTACCTGTTTTAAGAGATTTGACAGTATACATCAATTCTTCAGCAGTGAAGGGTTTTGAAAGGGGAGATGCCATAGCTACACCATTATTGTCATAAGAATCAGTGCTATCTAATACCTCATTTTCAAGGTCATTAACACGTTGTTTGACGTAAGAGGAAAATAGAACATCATGTTTCAGATCAGTATCCGGGGCAGCTAGATTTCTGTAATATTCACCAAACATATCATATATATCTTTCGGGTCATTAGATGATTTATCTGAATAGACAAGTTTTTGAGTATGACCTTTGTTTTTACGATAACGTTTAGCTACCCTGAAGTATTCATGAACATCAACCTCAGCAGCTTCATAAACTTCTTTGTATCTATCATCTATCAGCTTTTGTTTTGAGATCCGATGCTGTTTTCTAAATAACCGTTTGGCTTCTTTGTATCTAGCAAAAAAGATGTTACTTTTATCACGAGTTTTACCATTTTCCTTCCATTCTTTACGACACTTGCGCATACTATTGTGTAATGATTTAAGATTATCCTTTTTCCCGTACGGTTTCAGCCTAGGTTGGAATTTTGATGAAGGAATGTACATTATTGCTGCATTTTGAAGGGCTGAGGTGATGTATTCATTGTAATATTGAATAAAGTCTACTGGCGTCTGGTAGTCTGAAATTGCAAAAACCGTATCACGACGCCAGTTTTTAGTTTCATAACGATAAAGAATTAGATCCGTCTCAGTTGCTTTGCGCCAGTTAAGTTTATCACCTCCATATTGGCTAATAGGTGTTGTTATAGTTAGACAGGCAATAATAGGCAAATGATCTGATACAGAGTAAGATACATTTGTATCAATGACAAATCCGACAACATTAGGTGTAAAATCAACATTTACAAAAATGTAATCTAACATAGTCTTAATATTTCCACTTTTGGTGAAATATGTATATCTAGTGACGTCATCAATGGGGATAACAGAGTACAGAGATCTCTCATTCAATACTCTGCTTAAGTACTATGAACGCAGTTTAATTTTATCAGGAGTGCGTAAGTCTGTGTTAAAGTCACCAAGTATGATAGTCTGTCCATGTTGTGAATACACATCATATAATTGCATGACATAGTCAAGCGCTTCACAATAAACACTGTCCAGCAATTACAAGATGGAAGATATGTTCCTATAATAAAAACAGGATCATTGTTCAAAGTCACTTTGATACTGATCGTTCGATCATCATCTGGAGTGTTTATCACAGACGAGACACAACAGTCCCAATTACGAACAAATATTGCGACGCCTCCTGAGCCTCTAGGTCTTAGTAGTTCTGATTTGTCACATTTGGAATACACATCAAATTCATCATGGATCCGATTTAAGTAGGATTCGTTTTGTCTGTTTAGCCAGTGTTCAGAAATGAACATTATATCACAACTTTCAAGTTTACCAGCAAGTTCAGTAGCAGTATGCATAACGCCACGCACATTCCATGTAGCAAGTCTGATCATAAGAAACAAGAGATAGGTCACAAATAGTGAAATGAAATGAGCAAGATATTAAGTGCATATTCATATAAGTTATTAAAGCTAAAGACAACTTTCTTGTGTAGTGTTATGGTAGGCATGTGGAAGACATTTCCTAATTTGACGCATCGGTGACAAAATTGATGTCCGATGCAATTCCCTATTTTGACTTGTACCAAATGTTGTATGTGTATGACGTGTATGTGTCACCTTTTCGCGAACACCTGGTGTCATCACTATTTGATATTGATTCATAATAACATGCCCATGATATAGTCGGAATCGTACAATCGACTCTATTGGATATGGAAAGGGTTTTGTCGCTTTATTTACCCATTCTAAAAGATAGTCAACAGGTTCATCTTTACATCCAATAGCTGCGTCACATTCGAGATAGGGATATCTATCACCTAGCGAACGTCAATAAGCTGTACGAATTCCACAGTTGTCTTAATATGGAGACCCTTCTTCTCACCACCATCACTGTCGACTCAACGACTCAACGACGTCCATGAACCATCGTACCATGGTGTACATCTTATCAATCAGATATCCAGCATGTTGACTAAATGGATGAAGCAGACAGTTTGTGGCCCCAGTCGTAGTACGAGTAGACAGATGTTGTAACCAGTGTATGCCTTCAACAACAGATGTCTGCAGTTCTGACTCCATAGATGAAGTAGACGGTTTGTGGCCCAAGTCGAAGTACGTGTAGACAGATGGTGTAACCAGTGTATGCCTTCAACAACAGATGTCTGCAGTACTGACTACATAGTTGAAGCAGACAGTTTGTGGCCACAGTCGTAGTACGTGTAGACAGATGGCGTAACCAGTGAATGCCTTCTACAACAGATGTCTGCAGTATTGACTCCATAGATGAAGCAGACAGTTTGTGGCCCCAGCCGTAGTACGAGTAGACAGATGGCGTAACCAGTGAATGCCTTCTACAACAGATGTCTGCAGTATTGACTCCATAGATGAAGCAGACAGTTTGTGGCCCAAGTCGTAGTACGTGTAGACAGATGGCGTAACCAGTGTGTGCCTTCTACAACAGATGTCTGCAGTATTGACTCCATAGATGAAGCAGACGGTTTGTGGCCCAAGTCGTAGTACGTGTGGGCAGATGGCGTAACCAGTGTATGCCTTCAACAACAGATGTCTGCAGTATTGACGCCATAGATGAATCAGACAGTTTGTGGCCCCAGTCGTAGTACGTGTAGACAGATGGTGTAACCAGTGTATGCCTTCAACAACAGATGTCTGCAGTACTGACTCCATAGATGAATCAGACGGTTTGTGGCCCCAGTCGTAGTACGTGTAGACAGATGTTGTAACCAGTGAATGCCTTCAACAACAGATGTCTGCAGTATTGACTCCATAGATGAAGCAGACAGTTTGTGGCCCCAGTCGTAGTACGTGTAGACAGATGTTGTAACCAGTGAATGCCTTCAACAACAGATGTCTGCAGTATTGACTCTATAGATGAAGCAGACAGTTTGTGGCCCCAGTCGAAGTATGTGTAGACAGATGGTGTAACCAGTGTATGCCTTCAACAACAGATGTCTGCCATGTTGACTACTCAGGAGGAGCAGTCGCCTTGTGGCCCCAGTCGTAGTACGTGTAGACGGGAGCGAAGTATTTGTCTCCGTGCAAATGTTCACTATCTTCTTTCTCAGTGATGTTGACCCTGCCAAACACACACTCTTCATATGAAGGAGGAGCTGAAACATGAACCAGTATATTACAATCTAAACTCTGCATTAAGTGTTTTGTCAATATTTGTCATGGCTTCATAAATATGTACAACTTCTATGTGACGTAATGTCTTATTATTACAACCAGTCTACCATATTCTAGAGGTGGAGAAATGAAACATTTATGAACTTTTTTGTTTGTTGGACGTTCCAGAGCTACACTTTACCCCTTCTTCCTGAGGTAGCAAAATGCCTTGTCATGTAATTAGTCACGCGCATGAGTTAACGAGCCAAACAAGCTTCCTACTGATGAATTGGCAAGAAGTACCTATGTAGGGTCGTTACAAATAATAAAGTGGTCATCCATAAAGATTTCATGTCTACATGTTCTTCCAGCCCTTACCGAAGGCTTCATATTCTAGACGTTCGCAGTAGTACACTCACAAACCAGAGCATGTATATTTAGCCAGTACATCCAAAAGTTGAAATGGAGGACATGTTGCAGTCTTAAGTCTCACGTCGGGATGCGGTGACATACAACCAGTTACATAGCCTGACCGCTGACCACTATTCTGTCGCTGAATCTCACCAAGGAAGGCAGTCGAAGGTTACTGGGGAACTACAATGAATTCTTGCATGGAGAGCGAATTAGATATCGGAAACAGCGCCGAAATTAGGTCCAAACACGTAACTTGAGCGCAAAACTGTTGTATTTGAATAAAATGCGTCATCTCCACTAAGTGGACAACAATTTACAGAGGAAAGGGTAACGTCTGCGCAGCTGCGAGAAATCGGCTTCTTTCGGCCAGCGTTGTGGCTAAAACATGACACAAGAAGGAAAAGAATTGAACGTTGTAAGTGCATTATACGAAACCATTACCCGATGTTCCCTGTAAGAGTTTAATGCATAACATCACGATGTCTACTTACGCAAGTTAGGCGAAGCTGTTGGACTCTCTGGAGGATATGGTGGTGGGGCATATCCTGCCCCTTGGGCAAATTTATCTCTTCCCGGGGGTAGCGATTCTCCTGGGGGATAGGCTGGTGGTGTTGGGTATGAAAATGTGGTCTCGGTGTAAACTGCTGGACCCGGATGCGTGATGGGAGGATGCCTATCGGGGACACTTTGCAGGGGGATGGTGCCAATTATGACTGGAAGATCGATGTCGAGATCAATGCTGAGCCCTGGTGGACTAACTTTAAGCTGGAACAAAACTAATGATGTCATATCATAATTTCCAATTTGTGATCGCCTGGTCGCGTTATACCAAAATACGATAAAATACGGCACATGTCCTTGTTGTTATCTTGCCGTGCGGTCGGGAAGAAGGACATAAAACAAAGACTGGTCGGCTCGGAATCTGTATATGTTTGAGTGGGGTACTCACGTTAAACTGAGGTGGGCTCAGCACTATAATACCAGTATAAGTCCGGACCAGTACAAAAGAGACACATACAAGCGTGCATGCACGACGCTATGATAGTCAAATAATCTTGAACGGTAAACCCCATTCACTTCACCTTCGATTATGTTATGTACGTTCATACAAAATGCCAATATCAGGATTTTTCAGGTGGAATGTTAGGATTTTATCAGCCAAAACTAACTTCCATAGGAGATATCGCTGTGGTGAGATCAAGCGATTTGTCCTAGGAGATATCCCTACAATAAAATAGCATTCCAATGATTTCGAGACTAATTTCTCTGTCAGTGAAGTTGTTTAGCTGCACGTTTTACACTCAAGACACTGGAACCATTCAATCCCCATCAGTATCTCAACCCACGAGTAAATAATTTAACCCTACTTAAATATCTCACCCCACGAGTGAATTATCCAATCCTACTTTAATATTTCACCCCACAAGTGAATCATTCAACCCTACTTAAATATCTTGCCCGCTAGTGAATCATTCACCCTACGTAAATATCTCAACCCACGAGTGAACCATTCAACCCAACTTAAATATATCACCCTACGAGTGAACCATTCAACCCTACTTAAATATCTCACCCCACGAGTAAACCATTCAACCTTACTTAAATATCTCACCCCACAAGTGAAGTATTCAACCTTACTTAAATATCTAACCCCACGAGTGAACCATTCAACCTTACTTAAATATCTCACCCCACGAGTGAACCATTCAACCTTACTTAAATATCTCACCCCATGAGTGAATCATTCAACCCTACTTAAATATCTCACCCCACGAGTGAACCATTCAACCCTACTTAAATATCTCACCCACGAGTAAACCATTCAACCTTACTTAAATATCTCACCCCACGAGTGAACCATTCAACCTTACTTAAATATCTCACCCCACGAGTGAACCATTCAACCCTAGTTAAATATCTCACCCCACGAGTGAACCATTCAACCCTACTTAAATATCTCACCCCACGAGTGAACCATTCAACCCTACTTAAATATCTCACCCCACGAGTGAACCATTCAACCCTTCTTAAATATCTCACCCAACGAGTGAACCATTCAACCCTTCTTAAATATATCACCCTACGAGTGAACCATTCAACCCTACTTAAATATCTCATAGTGAAAATGACTCAATCAACCCCAAATAAACAGCTCACCGTGAGAGTGTATTGTATATCAATGATCGTGCAACTTTTAAGATAAGTTGGCGGAAGAGGTGGAATAGCTAGCTGGTCTCCATTCCAGTAGTCATGGTCTCCCATTAGGATTGGCTCATGTTGCAGCTTGGCCACCTTTTCAAAAGTAGTTTTTGACTCCCCTTCTGCTAGAAAAGTTGTCTCCTAAAAAGAAGAGTAAAAAGTGCCAGCTCACTTGTTTTTTCATAGAATTCAATTCATCAGCATATTTATGAATCACATGCAAAACTCACTACAACTGTTTGTATGTATGGGCATAAGTATATCAGAACTAAGTGAATACGTTTTAATGCTTCACTTAGCAATAGCCAAGCTATGTGAGGGCGGACTGTAAATAGTCTTGACTAGATGAACTAGTGGCAGACGAGTGAGACATCCAAGCCACAAGATCAAGATGACACGCTTAAGTCAGAGTGCCTGATCTCGACTTTCGTTGGCCCTTATGATAATCTAGAGTTCTTGGGGACCTGTTCTGACCCAAATGCATACGGGATTGGATAATGTAAATAAAGAAAAGAACTTCAATGTGAACTCAACGTATTGAGAATTTTTGGCTACAACCGTCGAATTTGTTGAATAGATCCTTAACTAATGACGATTATAATCATTCACAAACTGTATCAGCTTCTTAAGGGCCTTGACTCTTTCGTATCTTGAAACAAATTGTAATTGGAAATTGGTTCAAACAAAAACGTTCACCAAGTTGTACCAGAGATGTTGAACATGTGATAAGATTTACACACAATCACGAGGGACAAACAGCCAACATAAACATTTCCACACGTATTTCTGGTATACATGTCTGAATGGATGCTGATAAGTAAAATGATCTAAACAGGGGTCATAGACAGATGCTGCTTAAAACTATCTTGCTTGTGTCTGTAACGTGACAATTAGGCGTTACTTCCTCAAAAAGTTTTGTTTATGTTGATGCATGTTTGGAGAAGCACCTTAAGACTTCGAACATTTGTGAAAAAACGTCCATGACATAGTGACCCTCTTGTTAACAACACAGTATTCATAGATTTCAACTCACCATAGTGAGAGTCACTGATGAAGAATCTATTGGGCCATCTGACATATTCTCTATTTCAGCTTTCAGAATAATGACTTCTCCTGGGACATACCCCTGTCGGTCGATGGTGAAGGTGGCAGTGATTGGTCCAGATTGACAGCACAGACAGCAGATGGTCTTCGATTTGCTATCTTTTTCAGGCATCTACAAGAATTCATTCTGTTCTCGAGGCTCTGCTACAAGGAGCGTGCATTGAATAGCCTGGCAGCTAGGATCGGATGTTACTTAGTTGGATTCAAAATGACTATGGTGTTCAAAACACGGTCCTGCATTACGTATTCCACCACTGATACTGAAGGGTCCACATATTATTTCAAGTACGTGCCACAGCGCAGACCTGTGGTTGGTGTGTTTAGAAATGGAAATGGAACAGCAGGAAGTGAGATAAACATCTGGTTGTATATTACCCCAAACTAAAGGACGCTTTGGAAGTGTATATCATTCTTACTTGATCATGCAGATTAAGAGAACACCTTTCAGAAAAGATGTCTTTGCAGGAAAAGACTTTCAAGACGTTTCTTTGAGATCTCCAGAAACTGAAATACATATCCAGTTTCAACAAGAGCAACAACAATCGAAACGTCCAAATCAAAATAGAAATGTAAGCAAATTAAACAGCAATATATCTCATCATGCTGTATGTTTGATGATCATTTAAGTCTGATCCGGAAATCAAAGTCACTGTCCAAATATCAGGCAAAGATATAAGTTTCATTGAATATGAAACGAATGAAAGGAAACAAAGATGTAAACAGCTATAAAGATAGACGGATTGATTGATGGAGGAAGACACAAAAATACTCACGTTTGCCAATTCATTTTGCAATTAAGACTTCCTCATGGGAATAGTTATCTTGTTTCGAGTGAGTGACTGAGTATGGTTTTCCTTCGTTTTTAGCAATATTCAAACAATATCAACGAAGTTGACATCAGAAAAGTTCTTCACATATTGTACCCATGTTGGGAATCGAACCCGGGTCTTTGGCGTGACGCTTTAACCACTAGGCTACCCCAACGCCCCCTAGTTATCTTGTAAATGAATGCATTCAGTTCCCTTTCGGTTTAAGTATATATATGTTGTGGCAAATGGTTGAGGTAGAGGTAGGTATAAAAGTTTTACAAATATTACAGGATTTGTGTCAGAACTCATTTGCATATCTGTCGACAGTTCACACTAATGATATATCTTCAACAGCCTATAATAAATGATTAATGAATGGTACGCCGACCACAATGACCTCATCACTTACCGTAGCACGAGTTTCTTGATTTAGATCCAGCGGACAGATTACTGTGAAACATTTCATGGTTTCGTGGTCAAACTTCCAGGGTTTATCAATGATGCCTTTTGCAAAATATCGCACATAACCATATTTTCCCTCAAATGAAGAAGGAATATCCTGTGGGAGTGGGTACGTGAAGGGATAGGTGTGTCGGCCTGCGGTGAGATGGAGCTTGGCCCCCGACGCATCACTGCCTAGAATCCACATGACAAAATGTGAATATTTTATTCTAGACATGTCACCTAAATCCAAAAGCTTATATTATTCACCAGGCACGAAGGATATTTGCACCATTACAAATTTAAATACCATAAGGGCGATGTAGGATAAGGGACATCCCAAACAATACAGAAAAACATTGAAATATTGGTTTGACATTTTCAAATGGTTCACTAAACAAAACTACCATTTTGTCTTTCTTAAACTTGTAAATTTTGGACTTCTGGCCTGATTATATATATAAGAATGAATAAACTGTGTAAAAAGGCTGATTTTTAGGACATCAAAGGAAAACATAACTATGAGCAAGTATGTGATCCAAGAAGAATTTTGTTTCCATATGTTTTTGACTACATCCCCGAAGATAAACTTGTATCAAAGACTTGACCATGTTCAAATATTAAAAAAGTGTTTTCTGAAATTCATCCTTGTTAAAACAGTTTATCCTTACCCGTACATTTAGTGTTGTTATAATGAACAATGTCTACCTTACATTCATGTGAACATATTTGACAGCTTAAAGTGTTTCATACTTTCTTAAAGTTTGCAAATGATGTGGACCAAAAGAAAAGGTCATCCTGTCTGGTCCTTTGAGAACACAAAATAGATTAAGCATTAATGCTATTCATCTCCCATTTTATTATAATCTTAAAGAATACAGAATTACTCATAACAATTCAAAGGGTCAACGTCAGAGGATTATCTATCTCGATGATCTGCCCAAAGAGATTCCACTGGGTGTAAATACAGTGATGAGAATTATATTGAACGGGTCACTGTAATGAAAAGGGTAAGCACGTCCTGCTCCCCAGTCGTTATCTATCTTGTAAGTTTCTAGAAGATTCCCCTTGAAATAGACAATCTCTCATTGCAATGGAAGACTGGCATCTAAGACTCAGGCAATGGGAAATGAAAGGCGGTTATAAGTTCTGCATATTTTCTAAAGTCATATGCCATGGGTGTCAAGTAAAATTTGAGAGATCCTTTATTTGGGGCAATTAGTGAAATATCAAATACGTGCCGTCAATGTGATATAACTGGTTACACTATTTTATGCAGAACTATACAGGTAGATAAAGGTAGGTGTGTTGCATATATCCTTACCTCTCCCATCAAGTAAGATATCATCTTTAAAGTATTGCTCCTTCTCTGAATACTCCTCCTCATTATCGCCCGAACCCTCTGTCCATTCCACCTCTGCCTTGCCTTGAAACCGGAGGCGGATTCCTGAAATACGCTACCTCAGTTAATTCTGTGGAAGCATAACCAGAGTACCCCGGATACAGAATTTCACCTTAATTAAAGAATTGTCAGACCCCGGAGACATAAAACATGATGTGGCTCAAAATAAACACCGGTTTATTTCAACATTCCCATCAATTCAGATTTGTTTCAGTGACTGAGTGAGAGTGTTGGGTTTTACGCCGCTTTTAACAGTATTCCAGTTAAATCACGGCGTGTCAGCTTAATGTGGGAGTAAAGCCCGAAGTCACGCAGGTCTCACTTCGGTAAAAACCCACGAGCACGGGTATGGTGCTGACAAACCTAGAAACATAATGGAGGCGAACCGGGATTCGAACCCACAATTATAGGTTGCTAGCGTGCCCAAGCGACGCAACTCTGCACAGCGAATCGCGGCGCCTTAGACGTCTGGGCCACCCGTGACCCCTTGTTTCAGTATAAGTGATTTAAATATAATAACATGAAAGTAAAGTGTACCCCAATTCACGAAATTATTGGAAGTTATTATAAAAACAAAAAATGCTTAAATTAGAGAACAAGATAAGATTTCCTGCGACGGATGAGTAACAAAATTCAATGATGTCCGCAGTTTGTTGATACAATATTGCTTGGTTGATGGCCAGAAAGCCATGTCGATGAGGGCATCATCCCTGACACCATGTTTTCAGGCAAAGATCACGGAGATGTCAATCCCATTAATGACATGACAAAGTTGATATTTCTATTGGTGGAAATGTCAACTCTACCTCTTCACTTGATAGCCCCACGTTGGAAAATGTCGTTTGGGCCACGAGTGCAAATGTCATCTTGATTGCGCCACGAGTGAATATGTCTGTCATGCAAATGTACCGCACAACGAGTGAAAAAGTGAAACTCACTCAATGAGATAAACATAGGAAGAAAATACAAACATCCTCTATTGCGCTAACCTGGAGACTATAATTCCATATACACTAGCCTCATATATTTCCGCGAAGATCCGGGGACTTCAGCAACCCTTGCTTGCCGTAAGTGGCGACTATGCTTGTTGTAAGAGGCGACTAATGGAATCGGATGGTCAGGCTCGCTGACTTTGTTGATGAATGTCATCGTATCCCAATTGCGTTGATCGATGCTCATGATGTCAATCACCGGATTGTCTGGTCCAGACTCGATTATTTACAGACCGCCGTCATATAGCTAGAATATTGCTGAGTGCGGTGTTAAACAACAAACAAACAAAATCATCTATTTCTTGCTGTTCGTTAGCCGCGAAACAGATATAAACAATGGTCTCGGTCGATGTTACTATTTTGAGAACAGTAAGGAAGCTTGAGTCCTGTGCAAGGCCCACTTGCACAAAGCGATCTTAGCGCTACGACTATTGTAAGCCTATGTTAAAGTATGGAAGTTACGATCATCTTAGCGCTAAGATCGCTTTGTGCAAGTGGGCCCAGGTCTGTTTGGACTAAATGAATGTTCAGATAGTCGGTGTACTTAAAGAGGAATAGTTTGGGTACTAGGGGGAATACAAATGTCCACGATATTTTATAACGTGCACTGTAGTGGGGAGGTGAAAATTGCAAATGAAACGCCCGATGGCATTTTTTTTTTACAATATGGCATCCATGCTAGAAATGTTGCTAAGACGTCACTGAACACTATGGATGCCATCCTTGCATTGTTCTGCATTTGAGGGGCCGTATAAAAAGTATTTTCCATTTAAGTGTTTTAAAACACTTTTTATTGTGAATTCAAAATTATCACTGCTATTGCTCATAAGACATATATTTCCATACACTGGCAGTGTTTTGTTATATCTGGAGATGTAAGGATCATCTAAAAGCTGCCGCCTTTTTAACCACTTTTTTAAATTTCCATTTTCAGTCAGTTTGTATACAAATGAAAATAAGAATAAAGAATAAAAAAAACAATAGACATCAATTTAAACACATATGGTGAATTAATCACATTAAACATTTCAACCCTTGAATATATAACATTTCTCCACGTCATTGAATATACCACATTCTACGACAGCTTCATAGTCGACCAGCTCATTTAAAAGTACTCTACATAGTTGGATTATTGAATCCTTTAACTGAACAGCTCCGTGCACCTGTACAAATCAGTTTGTTTTTGTAACATCAAGAAGAACGTTTTTTTCTGCAACCACGCGATGTCCATTCCAGACAACTTGCTGGAATAGGCTCCCTTGACACTAGAACGGGGACAAGGTAACCCAGGCTTTCGTCTTTTCTCCAGCCCCCAGAAGCAACTGGATCAGTAACAATTTGTACTCTGACAGTTGCTTGGTTACATATAATCACTTAATCGTGAACACGCCTTATATGGTCCTGGAGCGCATGGAAATCCTTCAGCATATTTCTTCAAGGCTCCAGATATTTTTTCAGCATCAGGAGTACGCCATCCTTATCATTTCAGTATAGGAGTACTGGTAAAACTAAAGAGTACTCTTAGAATACTGAATGGAATTTAATTGATTAATCTTGTATTTCATTTTAGATATGCACCACAGCATTGCTACTCTCGTGTAAACTTCGTTCGTTGTACATGTATGTCTATTGTATGATGCGCACCCCCATTAAAGGGTTTTCAGTATTTTGGGGCAAGCCGACCACTTCACACACGATTTCTCCGAAATTAATGTAAACAATATAATTCAATAAATAATTAAAATAGGTTACAAACATAAGTCCAGATATACAATGAACACTTTTTGTAACCTGTGTAATTACAAGATTAATTTGCGTACTACAGTGCGGATTTGTTGACATGGTATTTCCGGTTTTCATGCATACGGTAGTGTCTGCGTTGGGGAATAAAACATCAAAACTCATTGTGGCGTGTATAATGCGCAGCCCCTTCACACAGCCGTGTTTTTTTTAAAATTGCACACTATGCTCAAGAAAATACGCTGCTTGAAATCACAATACATTTCGGGGGAAATACGTCTGTAAATGAATGTTAGAACGTACATGTATGCTGTGATGCGTATCTGATACGTTTTCTAAATTATCCACTACCGTAACGTGCGTATTATCACCATCGAAAATACGCCGGTACGGCCTTCATCTTAAGCCCAGGAAGGCACCATTTATGGTATGCAGATTCCTTCCTTGTTATTACTGTCAAGCCTCCAGCCACCTTGCAAGAACGATTCAGCCATTTACGAGCCTGGTCAACAGGTACTAAGTCTTGGTTAAACTGGTCCTCACTGTGTTTGACAGAAACGTGTCCTCCCATGAATTCTCTGTACACTTCCGGTGACACGCTGAATATCAGCTAGATTCACTGAACCCCGAGATTGTGATACTGAAAACGGAGAGGTACCAAGCTACGATTTCGCAGCTAGCGTCGCGCCAGCCTAACATAAAACAATAGTCATGAAAGCACACATCTCAACTCAGGGATTTTGTACAACCATTTTACATCAAAGGTGAAATCAAGCATTTTCTGAAGACTCATGATTTCATGATACTGTGAGGGTTAAAGTCATGCGGCGATCGGACTCCGTACTGCTGGTAATAGAGCTGCTTACCTCTCATTTTCATTGTGTCGTTTAGTTCCACAGTGAGATGTCCCTGTATAGTCTGGCCTGGGTAGTATATAGCCTGTGTTTGGCTGAACACAACCTCAAACTTGATCAATTTCGACATTATGCCAACAAAACACGGACCTCTACTGCCAGCTACAAGGGAGGCAATCTGCCACCAGAGGGCGCAATGCCATGTTTAGTGCATAGTTCTCTCAAAGGCATTTTAGCACCGCGTTGTCGGAGTCATTATTGATCCTTCCTTAACCCTTACTGTGCGGTGCTGCCTTGTGAAGGGCCTGACGAGAACCTGACTGACAGCAAATTATACAACAGAATAAAGGTTGACAGACAGAACTATTCTGCAGTGGAACGTTCTGAATATTTGTGGTGTCTCGTAGAAATGTTTGATTTAATCCCAATTTATCTGTAAATAGTTTGATCACGTTTTGCGCCAGACATATTTTCTGCGCGTTTCTAAACTTACTTTACCTTACTTCCTTACTATGCTTTTGCAAATGAACAATTAAGTGTTTAACCATTATATATGTACATACAAAAATATGTGCGTGCGCGTGTGCATGTGTGCGTGTGCAATTCTTTCGCAGGTGATTGCTGTTAGGAATATAAAGGTTTCTGTCGCTCCTAATTCCTGTGTTGCCAGTACCTACGGACAAAACGTGGACCGCAGATAGACCATAGGGACTCAATTAGTGATTGCGATCAATCTATTTTTCATATTGCGTGACCTGACTCCTGATTATAAACAAATGCGTTTATTCTAAATCTGAGCAGTCCGGCCTAGTAGAAGCCTTTTAGTGAAATGTACAGATGGTTTTGCATAATTACTGCGTTTGTCTGAACCAGACAATCCAGTGATTGCCATCATGAGCATCGATCCACGCAATTGGGATACGATGACATGCATCAACCAAGTCAGCGACCCTGACCACCCGACCCCGTCAGTGTATGACCATGGAATAATCGTACAGCGACTGCAAACAAAGGATAAATACGCTGATGCAAATAATAATGTTTCACGTGTTATGACGACAAGCATAGGTTCCTGAAGACCAATTCCATCCCACATCTTCACGGGGCGTAATTACTAAGATATACCACTGCAACAGCGACAGTGAGGAGTATGGCAATATTTCTATACACATCAAACTGACCGTATCGCTACTATCCGCCGGGATTAGGTATCAGCATATGGAGCCACACAACCACTGTTAACAAAGGATAAGTAGGCAAACTGGACACAGGTTTCCACGTTTTATGATATATCCTTAGTTCATGACATATGTTTATCTAAATGTAGACTTTTCAAATAGGGAACAGAAGAACAATGGCTGAGTAAGAGGTACTGGCTTGAGGCAGAGGTACTAGGTTGGCCGCAAGGGAAGCTGGGTAGGAGAGTGTTTATTTGGTACGTGTGGGTTTACACTGTTTTTAGCGACGCCCAAACCATGTATGACGGGGGCGCCAAGAAAGGGCTTCACACAAAGCGAACAACTGGGGAATCGAACCCAGATAATTGTCGTGACGAGCAAACGGTTTAACCACTAAGCTAACTCACCGCCTTCTGAGATATACAGGTAAATACAAACACAGACAAATAACAAACGAACATTTGTAATATTCCTTTTTATTAGTAAAATACGGAAGAGAACCGACAGATTTGTTATATAAACACGAATAAAACACATCAAACAACAATGATAAAATGACAACCGTCAATCAAATACCATTTATTATGTAGTGATATATCCTATTTTTATCGTTGAGGTGGTGGTAATTAGAGAATAATCACGAGCTACGAGACATTAAGGATTACCTGTCCCGAGTGACTGAATGGAAAGGGCAAGGATACCCATGATGACAAGTCACATGCTGGCAAAATGAAGCAACAGAGCACTTCCTCACGTCGGCAGGCATTTCATGTCATTCATTATATGTATACTAATCAAATGCACAAAACTGTAAATCTCTAAAATTCTAAATTACTAGTGTCTCATGAAGGTGAGGTGAGGAGAGGTGAGGTGAGGTGAAATGGGGTTTAGCGTGCGTTCAAGATTATTGCACTTATATAGCGAAGTATAGTGCTAGTGCTTTATAGTGCTAGGCCACTGAGATACCTTGCCGCAGTTTACCATGAATACTCCACTCAGACACAGTATACTGACTGAGCCCATTCAAGCCGAGCGCCAGACAGGATAACAACAAGTACCATCTTTTAACGTCTTTTGCTATGACGCGGCCGGGGATCGAACCCCGCTCCTACCTCACTCCGGGTTTATATAGAGGTATATAGGTTGACTTCGTCGAATATTGATTGGTGAACATCCTCGCTTATCCAGTGAGTTATAGCTCCACTATATTACGATAAATACCATGGCTTCCTTTTGAGTCCGGTGACACGACGCTACAAATAACCGTCCAGTTAAATTACAATGTTGATTCATGATTGAAACAAGTTGAGATATCAGCAGTATTCGACTCGCCATGATGCATAACGTTTCTCATACAAATGGAAACTTCATGTAGCACACGGACTTCGCTCCCTTTAATACACATAAAAACACAATATTTGATCACATATATTGAGCACTCATTCGTACGAGGCCGTGATTTTGAATGTTGATCTTTATGTATACTGAACCTGAATTCAGAAGAGTTTTATGACGCATGTTCCCGTCAAGAAAAAGCATCTCCATCTATCCTGTGATAGATGACGGGTGCATTTTGACTTTGTTTGTTTGTTGTTTAACGCCGCACTCAGCAATATTCCAGCTATATGACGGCGGTATGTAAATAATCGAGTCTGGACCAGAAAATCCAGAGATTAATATCATGAGCATCGATCAACACAATTGGGATCGATGACATGCATCAACCAAGTCAGCACCCGATCCCGTTAGTCACCTCTTACGACAAAAATTGTCGCCTTTTACGGCAAGCATGGGTTGCTGAAGACCTATTCTTCCACGGATCTTCACGGGTCGAATGGAAAGATGTAAACAGATAAAATGACAGATGGATTGATGGATGGACACACTTATAACCATATCTTCCAAAATAGTGGCGGTGCAGTTCACGAATCGACAGCAAGGAAGAGAACTCTGAGGCATGGCGCATAGCAAACACAATTCTCTCAAAGGTATTTCACCATCTTGAGGTTCCTTAACGCTTATTGTGCGGTGCTGCCTTGTGAAGTGCCCGATAAAAACCTGTCTGGCTGCATATTATACAACAGAATAACGTTGGAACTATTCTTCAGAGAAATGTCTGAATATTTGTGGTGTCTCGTAGACATGTTTGATTTAGTCCTAATTCCCCTAACAATAGTTTGATAACGTTTGACGCCAGACATATATTCTGCTTTTCATGCAGTCACTTAACTACACGCCATAAGGACATACACGTGTACAATTGTACATGCTATCACTGCGTTACAAACTTCGGACCTACACGTGTTCACCACTACTTGTTATCACTTTACTACACGCCGTAATGACATACGCGTTGACAATTCTACATACAATCACTTCACTACACGCCATAAGGACATACGCATTTACAATTCTACAATCACTTCACTACACGCCATAAGGACATACGCATTTACAATTCTACAATCACTTTACTACACGCCATAATGACATACGCGTTTACAATTCTACAATCACTTTACTACACGCCATAAGGACATACGCATTTACAATTCTACAATCACTTTACTACACGCCATAAGGACATACGCATTTACAATTCAACAATCACTTTACTACACGCTATAAGGACATACGCGTTTACAATTCTACATTCAATCCTGTTTACTACACGCCATAAGGACATGCACGTTTACAATTCTACATACAATCACTTTACTACATGCCATGAGGACAAACGCGTTTACAATTCTACATACAATCCTGTTTACTACACGCCATAAGGACATACGCGTTCACAATTCTACATAAAATCCTGTTTACTACACGCTATAAGGACATGCACGTTTACAATTCTACATACAATCCTGTTTACTACACGCTATCAGGACAATCGCGTTTACAATTCTACATACAATACTGTTTACTACACGCCATAAGGACATACGCGTTTACAATTCTACATACAATCCTGTTTACTACACGCTATAAGGATATACGCGTTAACAATTCTAATACAATCCTGTTTACTACACGCCATAAGGACATACGCGTTTACAATTCTACATACAATCCTGTTTACTACACGCCATAAGGACATACGCGTTTACAATTCTACATACAATCCTTTTTACTACACGCCATAAGGACATACGCATTTACAATTCTACATACAATCCTGTTTACTACACGCCATAAGGACATACGCGTTTACAATTCTACATACAATCACTTTACAACACGCCATAAGGACATGCACGTTTACAATTCTACATACAATCCTGTTTACTACACGCTATAAGGACATACGCGTTTACAGTTCTACATACAATCCTGTTTACTAGACGCCACAAGGACATACGCGTTTACAATTCTACATACAATCCTGTTTACTACACGCCATAAGGACATACGCGTTTACAATTCTACATACAATCCTGTTTACTACACGCTATAAGGACATACGCGTTTACAATTCTACATACAATCCTGTTTACTACATGCCATCAGGACATACGCGTTTACAAGTCTACATACAATCCTGTTTACTACACGCCATAAGGACATGCACGTTTACAATTCTACATACAATCCTGTTTACTACACGCCATAAGGACATGCACGTTTACAATTCTACATACAATCCTTTTTACTACACGCCATAAGGACATACGCGTTTACAATTCTACATACAATACTGTTTACTACACGCCATAAGGACATGCACGTTTACAATTCTACATACAATCCTGTTTACTACACGCCATAAGGACATACGCGTTTACAATTCTACATACAATACTGTTTACTACACGCCATAAGGACATGCACGTTTACAATTCTACATACAATCCTTTTTACTACACGCCATAAGGACATACGCGTTTACAATTCCACATACAATCACTTTTCTACACGCCATCGGGACATACGCGTTTACAATTCTACATACAATACTGTTTACTACACGCCATAAGGACATACGCGTTTACAATTCTACATAAAATACTGTTTACTACACGCCATCAGGACATACGCGTTTACAAGTCTACATACAATCCTGTTTACTACACGCCATAAGGACATGCACGTTTACAATTCTACATACAATCCTGTTTACTACACGCCATAAGGACATGCACGTTTACAATTCTACATACAATCCTTTTTACTACACGCCATAAGGACATACGCGTTTACAATTCTACATACAATACTGTTTACTACACGCCATAAGGACATGCACGTTTACAATTCTACATACAATCCTGTTTACTACACGCCATAAGGACATGCACGTTTACAATTCTACATACAATCCTGTTTACTACACGCCATAAGGACATGCACGTTTACAATTCTACATACAATCCTGTTTACTACACGCCATAAGGACATGCACGTTTACAAGTCTACATACAATACTGTTTACTAGACGCCATAAGGACATACGCGTTTACAATTCTACATACAATCCTGTTTACTACACGCCATCAGGACATACGCGTTTACAATTCTACATACAATACTGTTTACTACACGCCATAAGGACATACGCGTTTACAAGTCTACATACAATCCTGTTTACTACACGCCATAAGGACATGCACGTTTACAATTCTACATACAATCCTGTTTACTACACGCTATAAGGACAATCGCGTTTACAATTCTACGTACAATCCTGTTTACTACACGCCATCAGGACATACGCGTTTACAATTCTACATACAATCCTGTTTACTTCACGCTATAAGGACATACGCGTTTACAATTCTACATACAATCCTGTTTACTACACGCTATAGCGACATGCGTGTTTACATTTGTTTATCAATAATGTTCAGTAATATTTATCAATAATGCTGTTGGTGTTTGGGCCGAGACATGAAACCGCCTTCATACCCTTCCCCACTGTGTTGCAAAACGAACATATTTAATTGTAAGCAGAAGTATCTTTGCACTTGCACGTAGTAGATGTAATTAAAATCTCCGACCTCCCACTGTCCAGGTGGCAGGGGTGAACAAAGTCAAACTTTAGGGATGTGTTCGTGTCGCTGTATGTGGATGTTATAGACTGAAACAAAACATCAGAAAGGTAAATATTCAGTTCCTGATATTTATTTCACTTTTTCTTTCTTTCGTGTCTGAAAATACAGATTTGTGCTTTACTCTTCGGGTATGGTGTTTTCCCGTGGAGTTTCACTTTGTTGCCTGATCCACTTCTTCATCTCATGGATGGTCTGCGGCAGCTCCTGGTTGTTGGTCTCCGGTAGGAAGCGAACGATGAGAGCCACCACGATACACAATGTGCCGAACACAGTGCCAGGTGCCCACGGCTGGTAGCGGTACTGTCATATAAGAATCATCATTAGAATTTGGAAACCCCTGATATGGGAAAATTCGTGATTAGATAAAGACAAAGGGATATTGTTTCGCATCTATGAGTCTTAAACGTAGACTATTTTACTGAGTATGGTCCGGATTACCGATGATAAAAACATGCGCAGATAACAGGTGAAGTGTTACGGGACCGCATAGGTTTAACTGTGTATAAAACTGAGGATTGAGGATGTGGTAGTGCGACGTTTGGAATTAACCCCCCCATACCCCCACCCCATCTCCCCCCCACCCCTTCCCAGGGGATTTGGGTTAGAATGGGCCCACAGCAGCCTATGCTTTTCGTATTAGGCCACTAGTTGGATCAAGTGGTCAGGTCTGACTGAACTCGGCGGCGTGGGACGCTGCTCACAATAAGAATCACTGGTTTGTCGGGTTCACACTCATGTATTTACAGGATACCGTCATTTAGCTGGAATATTGCCTGAGTCAGCCCCAAACAACAAGCAAACAAACAGACAAACGCAACACGCAGATACAAAGGAAAATACCACAATGCTACCATTAAATTGCTATATACAAATAGTATATTCTAATATTATTTATGCTGTTGAAGTTACATGAAGTCACCGGGCCACCTGCAATCTAGTGACGTAAAGTAATATTCACTCACTCACGTAGAGTCAACTTACCAACGTTCGTGAAAATGGAGCAAAGAGTCCACCAAGTTTAGCGGCCATTGATGCCAGGCCAATCCCAACATTTCTGAAAACATAGCGCCATTAACATGAAGATATAAAAACAAATGATACTTTTGCTTTATAGCTATCATGAGTATTCCAGCTTTCGGGTCGTATGGCCTCAAATGCAATAAACATCTGAAATCGTGAATTAATATGACAAGTATTGTGTGTAGTGCCTGATTTATTACTTACATCTATATAAGTGCAACCATATGTATGCTCTTTTAAGACGAAGGTACCTAAGTTAACTTAAATGTAACCACCTTTGTCTCGTTGCAATGGTTCGGTTTCTTTAAGCATTTAGACTATTGACTAGTACTCGTCACCGTTTCAGTTATATTTGTAGATTCACATCAACACCACTACCTCCTTGTAATATCAAAATTATTGACGTAAAAAGTTCCAGACGTGAATTAAGATTAAAGACAAGAGAATGTGAAAACTCCCGGGAAATACTGTAGTTTGAAGTTTGGAAACAACGTGCATGTGGATTTTGTGTGAACATTTTATGTCCGGTTCAGTTTGTCAATCTTACAGCCATGTTACTGTGGTCTGTAATCGAGTCTGGGCCCGACGATGAAGTGATTGATATCACGAAGATCGATCCACGCGATTTGAGGAGGATGACATGCAATCAGGAAAGTACCCCAGCCTGACCACCGGATCCCCTTAGTACCCCAGCCTGACCACCCAATCCCCTTAGTCGACCAGGATGTCCACGGGGTTCACATTAAATAGAGAAAGTAAGTAAATGTTTATTTCCCGGAGTAGGGTACTAGTTAATGGACGTTACTGCAGGTGAATTGTCTCGAAATCTATTGTAGTCAACTGACTTCATTTGGGTAATAGTTTGAATAAAATTGTAACAATAAAGTTCCTGTAATTTCCTGTAGCAGCTCTTGAAGCCGTTTCATGCGACAACATCATGATTTTCTTTGGACACTTATGATGCCAGCCAACAAAATTTCAAATAGATGACAAGAGAAAAACTATACCAATCACTCTTAATGTAATATTTGTTTCCACATTGACACATGTCACTCATGTCATACAGTGGTCGTACGTATTTAGAAACTATAACACTATCATCAAATTCATTATGCCCATATCATGGATTAAAAAGTCGTAATGTCTTACCGGATGTTTGTTGGAAATATTTCAGGGGTATACAGCCACACAACTGAAAATGACGTCGATATTGCATATTTTCCTATGAAGACAAACGCTGTAACCGCTGCACTGAAGGAAGGAACTGTGTCTGAAAAAGACGATATATGAAATATGTATAGAGTGAGTGGGTGTGAGATGCCACAAATTCCTATATACTACGGTAAAAACATATTTACAGCCTTCAATCATTGTACTATAATGTTCACTCGCTATACCGCCGCTCTGCATACAAATAATATGGACTGAGAGGAACCATCTTCACAGAGGGGAGGGAGTAGTAGAGAGAGGGGAGGCGGTAGTGGCGTGAGAGAGGCGGTGGTACTGTGAGGGGAGGGGGGTAGTAGAATGAGGGCAGGAGGTAGTAGAGAGAGGGGAGGCAGAAATTGAGTGAAAGAAGCGGGAGTAGAGTGAGGGGAGGCGGTAGTAGAGTGAGAGAGGCGGTAGTTGAGTGAGAGAGGGCGGTAGTAGAGTGAGAGAGGACGGTAGTAGAGTGAGAGAGGACGGTAGTAGAGTGAGAGGGGCGGTAGTAGAGTGAGAGATGCGGTAGTAGAGTGAGGGGAGGCGGTAGTAGAGTGAGAGGGGTGGTAGTAGAGTGACGGAGGCGGTATTGCAGTGAGGGGAGGCGGTAGTAGAGTGAGAGGGGTGGTAGTGCAGTGAGGGGAGGCGGTAGTGGAGTGAGGGGAGGCGGTAGTAGAGTGAGGGGAGGCGGTAGTGGAGTGAGAGGGGTGGTAGTAGATTGACGGAGGCGGTAGTGCAGTGAGGGGAGGCGGTAGTAGATTGAGGGGAGGCGGTAGTAGAGTGAGGGGAGGCGGTAGTGGAGTGAGAGGGGTGGTAGTAGAGTGACGGAGGCGGTAGTGCAGTGAGGGGAGGCGGTAGTAGAGTGAGAGAGGCGGTAGTGGAGTGAGGGGAGGCGGTAGTAGAGTGAGAGAGGCGGTAGTGGAGTGAGGGGAGGCGGTAGTAGAGTGAGGGAGGCGGTAGTAGCGTGAGAGAGGCGGTAGTAGAGTGAGAGATGCGGTAGTAGAGTGAGGGAGGCGGTAGTAGAGTGAGGGGAGGCGGTAGTAGAGTGAGAGAGGACGGTAGTAGAGTGAGAGAGGCGGTAGTAGAGTAAGAGAGGACGGTAGTAGAGTGAGAGATGCGGTAGTAGAGTGAGAGAGGGCGGTAGTAGAGTGAGAGGGGCGGTAGTATAGTGAGAGAGGGGGTAGTAGAGTGAGAGCGGCGGTAGTAGAGTGAGAGAGGGCGGTAGTAGAGTGAGAGATGCGGTAGCAGAATGAGATAGGGCGGTAGTAGAGTGAGAGGGGCGGTAGTAGAGCGAGGGAGGCGGTGGTACTGTGAGGGGGGGTGGTAGTTAAATGAAAGAAGCGGCAATAGAGTGAGAGTGGTGTGAGTGGTGTGAAGGCAGGAAGTAGAAGAGTGAGGGGAAGGAGTAGTAGAGTGACGGAGGCGGTAGTAGAGTGAGGGGAAGGAGAAGTAGAGTGACGGATGCGGTAGAAGAGTGAGGGGAAAGTGTAATTATTATTTTCTCGTTAATTCGATTATTTTCTCGTTAATTCGATTATTTTCTCGTTATATAAAAAAACTCGTTATTTCAATTATTTTCTCGTTACTTCGATTGTTTTAAAAAGCCACGATATTTCGGGAAAGTAATTTAAATAACAAGAAAAAACCCGAAAAAAATAACGAGAAAATAATCGAAGTAGCGAGAAAATAATCGAAGGAACGAGAATAACCTCGAAATAACGAGAAATTCGTTTTCGATGTTAACGAGAAACAAAATTCGAAATTTCGAGAAAATAATTTGAAACAAAGAGAAAATTTCGATTTAATTCTTTTTATTATGGAACCAAAGTGACACCATTAGGCTTTCGTACCCACAGTCAGCAATTTTCCAACTATATTAGAGCGGCAGTAAATGATCGAGTCTGGAAGAGACCAACCAGTGACAGAAAGCATGAAATGCAAAATTGTAATGAGTTACCTTTGAAGTTGTCAAATAGCACCGATGCTATTAGTGATACGCCTGCTATCAGATGAAAGACCTGGCAGGTACGTTTTCTTCCAAATCTGTGGAGCAAAAGCCCATAAAATCACCGTACACAGATATACACTCTTCAAAAAAAAAAGAAACGCACAGGTAGTATGTAGTTCATTGAATCTGACTATACAAAATATCCGGTATATAAATTTGATATATGTTATTTGAAAATGTTGGTGGCCTGATATTCGACAAAAGGTGCGTCAAAACGCAGCCATTGTCGATTTGCCATGTCTTAAACGGCATTGTTTTCACACTTGTTCAAAAATATCATGGAGGAAAGCAGTAAAGCAAAATGCACGTGCAAGCTAGCCCATTCGTAACTCGTGGTAGTGGCTATAAAAATGCAAGCAAAAGCCAATAATTTGTCTTTCAATTGTCAACATTTTCGAAAACAAGTTCGAAAATGCCAAGACTCTGCGCTGCCGATCGAAACATCTCCTTAGGACGTAACCAAAGAGGGGAATCGCAGTCTCCTGTTGCACACCACTTCAACGTCCACCGCAGCACCATTTGCCGCCTTTGGAACCGATACACACAGTTCAATTCCACTACAGACCGTCCGAGAACCGGTCGACCAAGATTTACCACCCCTGCACAGGATTGCTCCATTCGACTGTTCCCCTACGTCATCGCAATGCCACAGCTACGGAGACTGCAGGACGCATCCCTGGTTTGAGGAGGATATCGGACCAGACTGTCAGGAACCATCTTCGCGAGGCTGTAATCCGACCTAGAAGACCAGTTATCGTCCCTGTTTTGCAACAGATCCATTGACAGCGACGCTTGCGTTGGTGCCATTCCTTACAGCCTTGGAATTTGAGAAACTGGAGACGAGTGTGGTTTAGCAATGAATCACGATTTATTCTTCACCGGAAGACAACGTGCTCATCGCCGTCGAAAAGAGCGTTTTACCCCACATTGTGTATGTGAATTCGACAAATTCGGTGGCTGTAGTGTCATTGTGTGGAAACCATATTCTAAACCACGATTGTGGTTGTGGTTCAGGGAAATTTGACAGCAAATCGCTACATGAATCAAATTCTTCAACATCACCTTCTTCCAGTCATTGACCGCCAGAGGGAGCTCCAGCACAACGCTCCACCGCACACAGCTCGTGTCACGGTAGACAACCTTCACAATGCCAACATCAATGCCTTGCCCTCGCCGTCGACATCTCCAGATCTCAACCCAATCGAACACCTCTGTGATGAACTCGATCGACGTGGACGTCAACGTCAGAACACGCCGCAGACACCCCCACAACTGGCCAACGCGTTACAAGCAGAATGGAGCAGAATTCCGCAGGACAGAATTCGTACGCTTGTCCAGTCAGTGCCGAGGAGATACAGAGCCGTGATTGCTGCCCGGGGCGGTCACACGAGATACTGAGTTCAGCGCCACATTATGGCCTTATGTGACATCACAATGAACAGTTGTCAGTGCCTTTGTACAACGACAACATGTGACTATCGAGCTCCAATATTTCATATTTGTATCTATGATATTAAATTAAATATATCGACTTCATTAGGTACAATATATTTACTAAAAAACTACCTGTGCGTCTCTTTTTTGTGTGAAGAGTGTATGCCCCCAATGAGAGTTTTATGGTCATATATCCGTTGTATTCTATCTAATTGAGATCACGTATATCATTACCGGTCAACTGTGAGCCAAAATGTGATAACGCTCAAAACATCCGTGATACAGTTCAAACCAAAGCCGATGTATTTGTCACTGTGGAACTCTGTTGAGTTGAGATACAGTCCATAGTAGGTGAGGCTGTTGGTTAACCTAAACACAAAACAAAACAATGATATGCACGGAAACACATGCAATCCGGCTATTTTGTTTGTTTGTTTGTTTGTTGTATAACGCCGCACTCAACATCATTCCAAATACACGTAGTCCGTCTGTATATAATAGCATATGGGACGACAAATCCAGTGATTCTTATCAATGATCCACGCAGTTAGGGTACGGTGACCTGCATTCAACCAAGTCACCCAGCCTAACCATCCGATCCATTGACGACTCGCAGCGCCGCCATTCGCTGTGAGGAGTTGCGTCCCTTGGACACGCCAGAAACCTATGATTGTGGTTCGAATCCCGGTTCGCTCCGATAATTTTTCTAGGTTCGCCAGCACCATATCAATGTTCAAGGGTTTTTACCGAAGTGTTAAATGTCTGATACCTGCATCACTTATGGCTTTCCTTCCGCATTAATTTTTTAACAGTATTTCTGTTATGTCACGATGGACCAGCCTTTAATGCGAAGGGAAACCAGTCGTAGACGTCATCTCTTTGATGAAATCCACATGGTGTGATGGATTAGAACACACAATTAATGGACACTGGTACCCGATTGCTCTTTACACATATTAAAGGCTCCCTCACGTATACTACAACAATGTACACTAATTAAATTGAATAGAATATTTTCAAATGTCATATGCATCCAAAAAAGACCGTTTCATCTCCAGGCGTTGGTGTTAGGAATGTGTTTGTACGGATGTGCCGGTGGGTAAGGATACGCTTAACACTTCATGAACACATAGTAGAGTCGGAATCGTATGATGTTCTCAGCTTTTAGCAGAGATTTCCTATGATTTTAATGTTTTTTGTCGCTTTCATTTGCCAGACAAATAAATATAGGTCTCGCTAGATCAGCTTCACCCCGGATGATGAAAAGCCTGGTCAATAACCTACCACATAAACCACGTGACTGCGGACAGCTTGAGTATCTGTCTATCCTTGAAGATCTGCAGAATTGGCTTCTCCTCTGTTCCTTCACCATGAACGTTTCTGTTGTTTTCACCCTTGTCAAGGCCACGGTTGGAGTGTGTATCAAGGAGAGAGTGATGTTCCTCATTTGGCGACATCACCTTCTCTCTGAAGAGAGCCATGATAACATTTTCATCAACATGGTTCACACGACAAGCCTTCTTCAAGTTGCGCTCTATGATGTGGTATTTCTTGTTTGCTGCAAGCCACCTGTAGCTTTCATCCAATATCCTGCAGCAAAAATATAGAGTAATGAGTGAGTGAGTTGGGCTTAACGCCGCTTTGAATTGCAGTGATTTCACAACGTATTTACTTAATATGAGAGGAAAGCCCGATCCCAAAGAATAAATTAAGAAATGAATCCAACTCAAGTCCAGAATAACTTGGCAAATCTAGATTTCCCCAGATCTAGGCCTCAGCATCTTATTACAGTCTATTTGGATTTTATTTCTGATCGGTTCACTCCGATTATGTTTCTTGGTTTGTCAGCACCATACCCGTGGGTTTCATCAGAATGGTTAACGTCTGAGACTTGCATTACTTCGGGCCCTCTTCCCAAATTAAGCTGACACGCCGTGATATTACTTGAATACTGTTCAAAGCGGCGTTAAATCCACCCCACTCACCACAAAACTTGATATAAAAATCCATCAATATGTATTCAACTTTCCTTCCGGAAACAAGCTAATTACCCTAACCGTATGTTTTGCAAATGTGCTTCTTGTTGGTTAATTATGAAATAGAATAGAAACACAAATGCTACAAAATACATCTTCCCGAAGCAAGGGAGTTAACTGACTTAAAAAGTCCAGTTTCCACTCTTGCCGAACAAAGATGGAATTATGGAGTTAGATTTTGGCTGGACTAACGAGTCTATGCATAGTGTTTTAAAATCCCGTAACGAAATCGACATTCGGTTCATAAGCAGCATGGCAACCGCCGTGGCTAATTCGTTCGATTGCAGGATTTGCAGTTCGATTCTAGTGCGGCATAGGCGGAAACCCTTGCCTCAGGAAGATGAGGTATGGTGATGTGAGGTGACATGGGGCTTAACGTCGCGTCCAGGATTATTGCATTTATATAGCGACTTGCATGCACATTTGTGTGGCTGCTTGTACTAGTCTGGACTAATGCCGATGTTATAGTGCCAGCCCACTGAGATGCCATGCCGCAGTTTAACATGAATACTCCACTCAGACACAGTATTCTAACTCCGAGCTGACCAGCTCTTGTTTTAGGCCATCAATGCCAAGCGCCAGTTATGGTAGCAACCAGTACCATCTTTTAACATCTTTTGGTATGGCGCGGCCGGGGATCGAACTCCGGACCTTCAACTCTCCGGGCGGACGCTCTACCACTAGACCACGGAGGCGGTCTCTCGGGAAGATGAATAGATCACGGTAAGATATACTCACCAGGGTAAAAATATAAAGTAAGACGATGTGAGGCCCACAACTAACTGATGCATCCTCCAGCTCATGTTCCTCGCGAGGTAGGCAAATGCAGCATAGATCACTATTGAAACTGACCAGGCCATATGGAACATAAGAGAGATGGTCGATCTCATTTTTGTTGGGACAAGCTCCAGACAGAGAGATGACGCGGCTATTTCACAACCCTGCAATAAAGCGCGTGCGAATTAATTTGCATCTTACAATTTCGTTTTTTCTAGATCTTCAGCAACCCATGCTTGTCGTAAAAAGCGACTATGCCCGTCTTAAGATGCGATTAACGGGATCGGGTGGTCAGGCTCGCTGACTTGGTTGATGCATGTCATCGTATCCCAATTGCGTGGATCGATGCACATGATATAAATCACTCGATTATTTACAGGCCGGCGTCATATAGCTGGAATATTGCTGAGCGCGGCGTTAAACAACAAACAAACATACAAAGGACACAGATATATATGTGCATGTTATACCCGTCAGGGGCAAACATATTCATACTATGATTAGCAGCTTGTTTTTGTCATATGGCGAGGTCTTAAAGTTTTGCCCACCTTAATAATTAAGAGCGTATGTGCGATATGTATATATTGGTATGGCACCATATTGGGTATAATTTGAGTGTGGTGACAGGTTATGGAGCTGGGCAAGTTAGGATGTGGTTGTATTGAGCGAATGAGGATGTAGGTCTAATGGGCGAGTTAAGATTTTAATGTATTGGGCGAGTGAGAATGTGGGTGTATTAGGAGATTGAATATGGTGATATTTTGGGCGAATTAAGAAGTGTCTGTATTGGGCGAGCGAGGATGTGGGTGTATTGGGCGAGTGAGAATGCGGGTGTATTAGGAGATTGATTATGTTGATATTTTGGGCGAATTAAGAAGTGTCTGTATAGGGCGAGTGAGAATGTGGATGTATTGGAAGATTAAACATGTAGATTTTTGGGCGAGTTCGGGGTTGTGTGTTTTGGGCGAGTGAGAATGTGGGTGTTTTGGGCGAGTTAGGGGTTGTGAGTATTGGGCGAGTGAGAATGGGGGTGTTTTAGGCGACCGGACGGTTATGGATGTTATAGTTGTGTATGGAATGAAATTGTGTCAGGCGAGAGAACCCTGTGAATGTGTCAGGTGCGCCGAGAAAGGACTCTGGGTAAGTTGGGCGAGTGAAGATGTGTATGAATTAGTCAATGGGGGATGTCAGCCTCATGGGCGAGTGAGGCCGCTGAGTGTGTTAGGTTTTCTCTTGAAAGATGATTCATGGGGCTGGTGAGGAATGGGGCTATTTCAGGCGGATGACACCTGGGTTTTGGTTGGACGAGAAAAGGACTGAGGGTGTCTTGAGAAAGTGATGAATATTGGGGGACTAAATGCGATTGGTTTGTGGTCTTATAGGGCATGATCGATAGATGGTAGCTGTCATGCTTGGTGCCTACATAAATATTACCATCAGCGCTGCTCCCTGTAGAACCTCCAGGACAGCGAAAGCAGCGTATTGTGGAACAAATGGCATGACAGTGCCAACTACGATGGATAGGATCCCAGCCATAACCATGGAGTACTTGCGCCCATACGTATCAGCTATGACTGGGAAAACGACTGATCCTATACCCAGACCAATCATATAAAAGGTTTCGAGTAGATCACCAAGACCTTCCTTTTCACAAACAAGGTCCCACTGTGGAATAGACAACGCCAATGATAATATCACGATGCTATATTTACTATAATGATGACCATTACAAAGCACAATATGAGAAATGTGATGCGAGTAAACATATATGGGTTTGGTGGTTTTAGAATTAATTAGAATGTTGACAGACTGAACACCTTTGCCCTTGCATTTTGTTGCTCAATATTCTTTTATAGTTATACGATTATTCAGTAATGTACCATGCAGTTTAATGTGCCAGTATTTCAACTGCACCAACTAATATTAAAATTCATGCATTAAATCCAGTTTGTATTTAGTTGGAATCTAAAACTTATTGCATTTCATATTTTCATTACCTAAACCCTCTCTGAAAGATACTCTCACAGAACAGCTGGGGATCATGACATATAAATGTTAGGAACGGTCAGAAATAAGAAATCGCCTGATTGCAGCTAATTTGCATGCTCGGTGACCTCGTGTTTTGCCAGCGTTAACAAATCGACATATTCTAACCGGAAGCCAACGTTATTTAGAGCGTAGAAAGAGGGGGAATCGCCGATGGCCAAGTGTTATATTTTCAGATCGTGTCTGGAGGCGTTCAAACGAACGTCCTACGAACGTCAACGTAAGGCAACATGACAAATTTGGGTTTGGGTCTGTAATGATATGGGGCGGATCACCATGACTGCCAGCACGCCACTGCATCTTGTCCAAGGAAGGGCCACTAGACAGCACAACATACCTGGTTGTGCCTCTTGTTCGCCATGCTGCTCTATGTTTTGTCTTTCAAGGCAATAAATAAGTCGTGTTAAACTACGCAGGTATCGTAACTGACTTCATCCAGCAGCAAAACATGACCAGAATGTAATGGCCAGCCACGAGTCCTGACCTTTCCCCCATAAAGCACGTCTGGGACATCATCGGGAGACGTCAACGTCAAAGGCCACCAACTACATTAGCCGAACTGGACCAAGGTGCGGCAAGAGGAATGGACGAGACTCCCTCAAATTGTCACTGGGAGATAAAATCGGACCATGCCACGCCGTACAAACGAATGTTTGATGAATCGTGGGGACATGACCCATTGCATCTTCCCGAGGCAAGCCTTGGATCAAGTCATCTCAAACATTCCTTTTCACACACCGTTGCCGTCTTTCTTGGTTGTTTGCACAACACACCTTTGTTCTGTTGATTGTCATGTTGCATCTGGTACTTCCTTTGTCTTTATCCACTACCATCACCCGATACCTCTTGGTAGTTCTGTAATCATCTGTTATTTATTTTCGAACACCCCCTCCTGTTTTGCGTAGAGTATAGGACATATTTGTCCTCAATTTCCATTTTTCGCAAATAATTAATCCATTAAAAGACAAATGTATCCGAAAACAGAAAATGAAACTTTCTTCTTTTATGCTTTTACCTCGGATACAAGGGACAATTCTCTTGCCGCTTCATATTCATAGCCCTCAATGCAGTCCAGTCTCTTGCTTTCCAAATGGTCCGACATGTTGGTTGTGATGGTGATGCCACATTCATGGTATGTGATGTTTAACCCCGCGTCATCTAACCCTACTGGAAGACCTTCTTCAACTGATGTACGGTTAAGCTCTTTACACCGGAATGGGACATACGATCCTGCATACGGAAGGTATAAAAAACACGTTAAAATCATTTTGGCTGCATAAAGGATGTTTCTCGGGAACATTTTCTCAAAGGTGAGAAGGTTTGTGGGACCTTTATATCTGTAACTTAAACATCTTTAACATATACGGTATAGCCAAGAAACAGTTGATGCCTAAATATAATCTTTGTCAGCAAGGGAACTCTGCGCCATAAAGTTCCCGCTCCTTACAACTCGCAGCTGTAGGATGTGAGAGACTGAGAGTGAGTGCCGGGTAGCTTTTCGTGTTGCATAATGTGCTTTCTCTTTTTCGAATTGTAAATATTCATGGATGCTGGATTTGGAGAATTGTAATCGTTTTGTACCACATTCTTCCGGGTGTCAGGATGAGGTTCTGTAAGCGAGTTTACACCTTCATAACAGTATGAAGAATGTAACGTTAGGTTTAAAGAGGAAATACACATTTAACTATATTTTGTAGTTTTCATGAAATGTATTCATGTTTTATGATATTATTAAAAAAATGCTGACTTATTTGAATGTTTAAGTTCTTATCCCATTTTCAACAAAACTGAAGCTAATAGCAAAATGATACAAGATTTGTATGTCTTCGCTGACTCACCCATTTTGTGTTAAAAGTATTGCATCATTTGAAGATCCGTGGCGCCATAGACATGACATGTTCACCAGATGTGCAATTACGTTGACATTTCACCCATGGCGCAATTGAACCATGAACATCCGGGTTAGAATAGGTATTCAGCAATCCATGCTTGTCGTAAAAAGCGACTATGCTTGTCGTAAGAGGCGACTAACGGGGTCGGGTGGTCAGGCTCCCTGACTTGGTTGATGCATGTCATCGTATCCCAATTGCGTGTATCGATGCTCATGATGTCAATCACTGGATTGTCTGGTCCAGACTTATTTACAGACCACCATCATATAGCGGAGTGCGGCGTTAAACACCAAACAATCATACTATAATTGTGGCATGTTACCGTTGATTGCTGGATTCTCTATGCATTCACTGTATCCTGACGACTGTGCTACCATGACTGACGTCATCAGCATCAGTTGCCATAGGACATGTTGTCAGCAGCTTCACTGTATCCTGACGACTTCGCTATCATGACTGACGTCATCAGCATCAGCTGCCAGCCGCTTCACTGTATCCTGACGACAGCGCTACAATGACTGACGTCATCAGCGTCAACTGCCATAGGACATGTTGCCAGCCGCTTCACTGTATCCTGACGACTGTGCTACCATGACTGGCGTCATCAGCGTCAGCCGCCACAGGACATGTCAGCCGCGTCACTGTATCCTGACAACTGCGCTACCGTGATACTTATCAAGACTGAGTTCGAGAATTGGTGCCGTACATTATTTCTTTCCAGAAAAGATGCCTTTTGTGTGTATCAGTTTCACATTTAATATTTTATTCTGATGACATAATGCGAACCTATTGCTTATCTCTTCTTAAGGCTTTATAGGACTCTTTTTTATAGTTTTTCTAACAAAATTCTAATGTGCCCCAAGGTGGGGATAGTGATAGCGTTGTTTTCTTGTTTCAATTGCAACCATGCATTGTGATTCTAATGTCAACTATATTGTGATTACAGTGACTCAAAACTGACAACATTCCCCATTTCCTTAGGTATCATTACATATAATGCAAAATCACGAATTATATAGAGTATGTTGTTAAGTAATGTTTGTATACTCGGACCTCGCGGTATCGCGGCATTCATCGTATCGCGGCATTTGTGATTTCCGGTAGTTCACGCGGGACAGACCTCTTAGCGGCTGTCTTTTAATGCAAATCAGTTACCAGGAAGTGCTCGCTTCGTAAACAATTTCAATTTCCTCGGAATGTTCCGTCTGCTGTTAGTAAGGAGTTATTAATGTGTTGATACTTACTTCTGACATCTTTTTTTAATATTGCCTTACCTCCATCTATCAATGGTCAACGATATAACCCGCAGTTCCCCAAGTAAACTTTCTCTGTCGACCTGAACTAGATCATCTGCATATTCATGGCGACTAATAAGGTAACGGAAGTTACGTAGTCCGCACATTTTTTCCCGCTCTGTGCCCAGAATCTATTGGGAGATCATAAGGGCCATAATGCCAAACTTAGAAACACGTTCTTCACTAGAAGCCGAAAGATAAATACATACTTTGGGCATACTAGGAGTGCTTTATATATTTATTGTTGACTGTTAACATTTTTCCATTTTGTGACAAATTATTGTCATCCATTTAAAAAAACAAAAACAATCTTAGAGTATCATTTCTGATATTTTGTTGTTGATTTTTAAAATATTTTTCTCTTACTTTTCGGTAAATATGCATTAAATACCTATTACTGATAACACATTTAGAATTTTACTTGTGCTGTCTTTGCACATGTCTGGACAAATCACTGATGTCTGGCATGATCATACTAAGTGGTTGGTAGAAGTATGTCCTCTTTTTGTCCAATTCGGTCTGTACCGCGATACCATGGAATTCTCTCCCTTGTCAAACTGAGCGCGAGGCCCGGCTTTTACTCGGAGCTACTAAAGTAAACAAGAAAACATTGATGCTGAGCATCAAAGTTCCCCGCCATATGTGATGCCTCACAAACGCATAATTATGATGTTACTGAAAGGCATGAAGGAGCATAATTATATTAACCACAAATAACACAATATTATTTATTTTGAGTATTGGGCAATACAGTTGATACATGTGCATAAGTAGGTCTATTTAAAAATAGTTTCTTGTTTAACGCCGCACTCAGCAGTATTCTAGCAATATGACGGCGTGAGTCTGGACCAGATAATCCAGTGATTGATACCAAGAGCATCGAACTACGCAATTGGAATATGATGTTATGCATCGACCAAATCGGCGAGCCTGACTACCCAATCCTGTTCGTTGCCTCTTACGGCAAGCATGGGTTTATTTAAAAAGTAGATCGAAGGAAATGGAAGCAATTTCGGGCACAAATGTAAACATGTTGAAATCGTATCAAAACTGCCAACAATATTGGCAGATGTACATACTCAAATAATAAACTGACGTCCAAAAGAAACTTTACCAACTGAAAAATAAATTTCAGACAAAGTATAATTTTTTTTCCGATGAAGTCTATCTAAAACACACAACCTAAATACAACAATAGTGTATGCAGAAAATGTTAATCATCTGTTACATGTTTGCGAGATAACACGCGAAAAAGTGAAAAACACGTGCACCACGGACAACTGCAAATGCACGTGCGGGTAAGGGTATAAAACGATTGCAACGGCAAGTCAGACATCCACAGTGATAAAAAAATTACACATAAGAAATGCCACGACTCACAGTCGAACAACGTGAACGAGCCTTGGGTATGGTACAGATGGGAGCCACCCACGCTCATATTGCACGAACCTTCGGTTGCTCCCGTGTTGCCGTTGCCAACTTGATGCAACGTTACAGACAGACAGGGCGGACCGCTGACAGGCCAAGAACAGGCAGACCCAGGGTGACCACGCCCCATGATGACCGGTACTTGCGTACCTTGCACCTCCGAAATCGCTTCCTTACAGTGACGTCATCGGGGACAAATGCCTAAGGTCACAGGGTTAGTCGACAGACAGTGGCCAGGAGACTCAGGGCTCATGGAATCAGGGCTTTTAGACCATACAGAGGACAGCAACATCGTCGTCTGCGATTGAGATGGGCTCGAACTGTACGACGTTGGCAACGACGTGACTGGCAGAGGGTTGTCTTCACTGACGAAAGTCGATTCTGTATGTTTAGGGCTGATGGAAGACAACGTGTTTACCGCCGAAGGGGTGAACGAACGGCGGCGTGTTGCGTGCAGGAGGTCGTACCATATGGTGGAGGGAGTGTCATGGTGTGGGGAGGGATCTGTGGGCAGGAGAGGACACCGTTGACGGAAACTTGACAGCTCAGCGGTACATGGATAAAATTCTTCGTCCAGTTGTCCTACCATTTCTCCAACAGCAGCCACGTGGTGTCATTTATCAGCATTACAACGCTAGAGATCATACAGCCAGAACTGTCACTAACTTCCTCGCAGCCAACTCCGTCAACGTCCTGCCGTGGCCTGCACGCCCACCCAACATGTCCCCCATAGAACACCTCTGGGACTTGATGGATCGTCGTGTTCGACAACGACCACACTCTCCAGCCAACCGGCAAGAACTGATCTCGGCCCTCCAAGATGATTGGCGTCAAATCCCACGTGACCTCATCAGACGACTGACTTTTTCTGTGCGTCGAAGAGTTTTTGCGTGTATTGAGGCATTTGGTGGTCACACACGCTACTAATGACTTGTTATTAAACGTGAGCGATTGTTTATGTATTCTGCCTATTGTCCATGATTCTGAAAGCTCGAGTTTTGTACCACACCCAACTTTGGGGGGCTCTGACGTCATTCTCGGTCGCGGTATGATTGTCATTTTCAGTGTTGATTATGTTGATATAGTGATCTTCTCAATACACTTTACTTCATGCATGTATGTTTTGTTGTTTTTGAGCAAGAGTGATTTCAAATTCTGGTAAAGTTTCTTTTGGACGCCAGTTTAGATCACATTCTTTTTGCACTTGGCATTTGGTTATAATAATGTAAATGAAAATACTTAGGGCTCCAAATGGCAAAAAAGTCATACTAGATAAGGTCTTTTTGTCACAACCACAGATGCACATACTCAAAATATTATCACGTAGTTGGAGAACATTTCAATACTAGGACTAATCAATAACGGAGATTCCCCGCCTCTTGTTTTACGTTTTTTGGTCATTTTTGTGTGTGTATTTCTTTCTTTCAAAGAATAGTAATTGTGATCATGATGGGTTGAGTTACTTGGTCTTTTTCTATGTACTGTTTTTTATCCAGTGTCAGTAATTGTTGTGGAATGTGGTTTACTTGTAGCAATTACTGGTTTGAGTTCATATGATGATGATTGATTGGTTTGTCCACCTGATCCCGTTTGTCGCCTCTTACGACAAGCATAGTCGCCTGATATACTGTTAAGATGTAACATAACAATTCATCCATACTACTAAACAGAAGTAAAACTGCTTGTCCATTCGGATCAGGCGGACCTAAACCATTCCGCTGATGAGAGTCAAATAATGCATACGAATCAAAATCCGTTAAAATTGCAATAGAGACATCATTAATAGTTACCAAAAGTGACTGGGATATCAATATTGCTTGTTGGAATGATTCTATGAAATTTGTTTTCCCTGCTTCAATATTTGGAGCACCTGTGACGGGGCTCTAAAACTGATTATGACCTAAATACCCCTCGTAGCCTTCGGTGTTAACCATGTGACTGTAGAGAGCGGTGCCTTCATCCAACAGATTATCGAGGTCAGTGGAACACGGTACAGACGCAAATAGATTTGAGCCATGGGACACAAAATATATGATAGCGACCAGAGCTACGGCTGTACATTGAATTCCATTAAACGGTTGAAAAATACTACAGCCTTGATGCAAATTCGCCGACACGCTATTCCGATTTTGCTTTGACTTAGCTACCAAACGTTTCACATGTGGCTATGTGCGGTGCACTTATTAAAAAAACACGGGGACTGGGTTAATTCAAAATACGGAATATAACTATTCCAAATATTTCCAGTGAACATGAGCATCCAAGCAATCAAAAGTGTGGTATGTAGAATGTGGAATTCAGCCATATTACATTTAAATTGAGATGTCATCGTTGTTCATGAATAAGCATATTCAGAACATATTTTATATTATGCTGTTATTTACGATCTCCGGAGTACAGTTCTTCTTTTGTATGCACCGAGAAAATCAGAAAATTAGTCCTTGAGGAAAAAAGGACATTGGATTATACATGAATGGTTTAATAATAATGACCAGAAACGGTCAGATGCATCAATTAACTACATAAAGACGATTTTGAAGTATCTCTTATTGCTGGAGAAGGATATCATCAACATTTCACACACATCATTTGTATGTTTTGTTTCCGTAAATGCGTGGCTTGAAATTTCAAATAAACCAACATGTCGACATTCATGCTACAAAATTAACGTTTCCCGTATACTTCCCCGCCTTCAGGCCGGGGAAGAATAAAGAACTTTTATCAGTGAAATATGCATTGTTAGATAAAACAAATGACATCTGATATAGAGAACACGAATAATCATAAAGGTTAGTGAGTGCATTTTGTTCCGCGTACATGACAAGTACCGCGATACCCGAGGTTGCAGGCTATATATAAGCACAGTGCATTCTACTCACACGAAGTTCACTAAAACATTGCAATACTACATGCTTTGCATTTGAAAAGAAAGACAATACAAACCTTATTTATTATGACAAGTCACCATTCGAAGTTTATAAGTTACCTCATTAGTAAATACAATTTAGTAAATACATAACTTTAGTTACTCAAGAAAACCGGATGGCTGGCGTTTCCCAGTGGTTAATGGCCGGGTGAAGCATATTTGTCTCTAGTATGATCTGAGTGAACAACATATACTCGAGAACCATGACACTTTGTTTGGACAAGGGTGTGTGTATTCTCATGTACAGGTATTATTTACTGACTCACCTGTGAATATGATACAGGAAACTGCGAAGCCAGCAGGTAACATATTTAGGACCAGTGGAATTAGTTGATAAATCTGATATACCCCTCTCCATTTCAAGGCCAATAATATGCTATCGAAGCCTTCATCGCTATTTGAGGCGGCCATCGCCCTGATATGTTGTAACGCAAGTAAGTGTAGATAAGACGTTGGATACAATGGTTCGTGCGCACCTCAGTTAACGCCGTTGCACGAAGTTTACCGTGACGAATTACCTCCCTTGACGCGCCCTGTCTCAAGCTGCTCGCAGCGATAGTCCGTTCGCGGGGCTGTGTATACTATCGCTGCTACCAGTCAAAACTCCCCACTGTGATAAGTGGCCCCAACCATGCTTGGAGTTGAACTCGCAAATCGAATGACCGTTGTGTTTACAAACAAGTGACGACTGTCGTGACGTCGAAAACACTGACCGCTGACCGTCAATTTGAATTTCTATTTCATTAAAAGTATCATCTTTAATTGATATAGTAAGAATGTAAGGGAGAAGTTGGTTGATTTTCTGTTAGTCTGCAAACTCGAACCAATCTGATTATTAAAACAACAAAGTAAATTCATCTGGAAAACATGTCAGTCGTAAACCTTTTCAAAATGAAATATGATGGCATTCCCAAAGACATAAACAAAAGTTTAAACGTTACTACATATGGGGTTAGAGGGCAAATTTCAAGATTCTTGTAATGGCCGCGCCCACACCGGTGGCAGCGATGTTACCGGGAGTGTAACGAAGGTGTCACGCGCTGGGAAGGAGCTTTGCCCTGTCTTCTACTTCCGCAAAATGTCTACCATGGATCCTGATGACTCTTGTTATCACATTGTAAACATTGTGAAACTTGCATTTGTTACAATTATTGTTGTGTTTTTAACAAGTGTTGAAGCATACATTCATCAGGACATGTATGTTAACATGATATTTGAATGGGGACGGTCGGGTAGCCTAGTGGTTAAAGTGTTTACTCGTCACGCCGAAGACCTGGGTTCGATTCCCCACATGGGTACAATGTGTGAAGCCCATTTCTGGTGTCACCCGCCGTGATATTGCTGGAACATTGCTAAAAGCGGCTTAAAACCATTCTCAAAACCATTCTCACTCACTCACTCACTGATGTTTGAATGCTAAAATGTATATCTTTTCCCAACGAAAAGTTGATTACTTCAAGCAATAAAATGACATGTTTTTTCAAGTACAAATTGATTTGTCAATCCTCTGTGAAGTTTTCATAATCTGCTCAAGTATGAATCCATGACAGTTCTGGTGTTGGAAAACATCGGATGGTAATTGGTGGTAAGCAACTACATGTCCGCTTATGATTGTGGAAACCTGCAACATGTACCTTTGCTATCTTTCCAAAACATGAGCCGATAAGTAATAAAAAATAACTGTTCCAATGCATCTCTGAATTTCCAGTTTCAGTGAGTTACTACACATTATTTTATTGACTTTGCACATTTTATTCTCCTCCCTGAATTTCTAAAATATTCTATCTTTCTGTTTTTGGTACGAGAAGCATAGCTATTTATGATTAATTAATTGCTATTAATGGATACACAGAAAGCATTGAAGAACATTAAACCTGCCTATTATGTTATATCTAAACAATACTCAATGACAAGCATAATATGTGATTGATTATATCTAGATAGAGAATTTATCTCCCTTTTCAGGTAGCAGGATTGACATCCCTAGCCTTCTTTGGGCATGCAAATACTCAATATTTTGCGTGGAGACCTACAGATTACAAAAAAAATGATGTTGCTTGGTGGATATTGTACGTTATGCGGGAACATGGTGACTCTGTAGTGGGTTTTGATCTTCTAAATATTTAACTATTTACATGAGTTCTTTCTCCTTTGATACCCGAACCACATTGAATATGTTGCTGTTTTCCCTCGATTGTTTCTATTTTTGGTCCTTTTTTCACCATACTTGTATGTAGTTAACCAACTTAAATAGTAATAAATACTACAAAGTAAGTTTAATTAGACTATTAGGTGAATGTGTTCCAAGGAGTCAGCTTAAGCAATTCTTTATAGTTATGGTAAATCATGTCATTTGAGGCCTACCCCACTATACATGGGTGGCACCTACAGCAAAATATAGCATGGAAAGGCAATATATATATTTTTATTCGGTACAAGTATACTATACACTCTCTTCATGTTACATCTCAGAGCATTGTAGTGGGTTTCACTTGATGTGTCCAACGTCACGGCATTTATATATGTGCGTGCATGTCCATGTAAGACTATGAATAATTGATCCCCTGACTCTACATATATGTAATCTTGGTTTAAATATGCCAATGTTTCACATCAATTTCTGCTCATGATCTCACATGCTGATGACAATGTATTTTGTTCACTTTGATGACCTGAAATGAGAGGCGGTTTTAAGTACTGCATATTCTGTAAAGTCTTATGCCATGTGTATCAAGTCAAATCCTTTATTTTGGCAATTGGTGAAATATCAAATAATGGCGGTGTATATGACATTACTGGTTACACTATGTGCAACAGAACTATGGAGGTAGATACAGGTAGATGTGTTGCATACATCCTTACCTCTCCCATCAAGTATCATCTTTAAAGTATTTCCCCTTCTCTAAATACCCCGTCATCGAACCTTCGCAGAATTCCACCTCTGCCTTGCCTTGAAACAGGACGCGGATTCCTGAAATACAATGTCTCAGTAAATTCTATGGAAGCATAACCAGAGTATTCGATGGCGCCATGGGTGAATAATTAAACTCTTAAACTACATGCTATAACGATATGCGCGTTTACAATACTACATACAATCACTTTACTACACGCCACAAGGACATGCGCGTTTACAATTCTACATACAATCACTTTACTACACTCTATAAGGACATGCGCGTTTACAATTCTACAATCCCTTTACTACACGCTTTAATTTCATGCGCGTTTACAATTCTACATACAATCACTTTACTACACGCTAGAAGGACATGCACGTTTACAATTCTACATGCAATCACTTTACTACACGCTTTAAGGACATGCGGGACTCGAGATGAGCAACCTTCCCGTGGTGAGTGCTGGGAAACGCTAATAGCTCTTCCCCTGTGTGGACTCGGGGTAGAATGTGTTCACAGCACCCCATTGCTTATCGTAAAAGGCAACCTGTTTGCCGGGGGTTGCGCCCCTGTGTCGGTGGAGGAAGAGAGTCTGTTGGTTGAGGGCACTGGAGCCAGGAACCGGTGTTCCTGTGCCCAACACACCACTTTGACCCTAACTTCACCTAGACGGGTGGTAGAATGGGCCCGATTCTATGAATCGGCTGGTCACGCCAAGCCCTGTACATAAAATTGGGTATGCACTCACGTGACTTTTATAAATGTATTATTTAGAATTGGACGTGTATATCATGCTTGATTTTTCACACTATTAATGTAATAATTTGCCTAGAGTCTCATGCCAGAAGGCGGTGGCTCATGGGCCAATCTGGGGATGTTGACCTGCCAAATTCAGTATGTATCCAATTTCTTGTCATGGGCCGAACCAGCCTGGCATTTAATTTGGTATACAAATATAGCTATTTGCGTCATATTTGCTGGAGTATAACATCCCTGTATCCCTGGTGTTTGCATCTTGGATATCCTGTGCACCAAAACACCGTTCTTGGTAACACTCCGTGGTGGGTGGGTAGCAGGGGTGCTGAATTACTTTATTTCATCATGTCTCACCAATACCCTGGTTCAAACCGATCAAAACGTAGACATGTGGATCTAGATGACACTGATCAAACTGCAAATTTATCTCGTGAATTGGATTCCTGGGCCCGATTTATTGTGATCGAGGCAGCTGATAAACAACCATTAAAGCTTAATCCTTTCGCCATTTCAAAAGCAGTTTCAGGAATTGGCGGAGAAGTTAAAAATAAGACACGTCTTCGTACTGGCTCTCTTCTTGTTGAGTGTTCACGGAGACAGCAATTTCTCAATTTGCTATCTATACCTACATTTGCCAATATTGAGGTTGCTGTGTCCGTACACAAAACCTTAAATTCTTGCCGAGGCATTGTTCGAGACAGAGCTCGTTGCCTGTCCGACATGTCCAAAATTACAGATTAACTGACTAGTCAAGGGGTAACTGCAGTAAAGCGTTTCACTGTGAAATCCAGAGACGGTGACATCATCCCGTCAAATACCTATATGCTTGCATTTGCACTGTCGGCCCTTCCTAAGTCTGTTAAAGCTGGTTATCTAAACATCGGAGTGGAGGTGTATGTCACAAATTCTACAATCAACTTTACTACACGCTACAAGGACATACGCGTTCACAATTCTCCAATCACTTTATTACACGCTACAAGGCCATGCGCGTTTAGAATTCTACAATCAGTTTACTACACGCTATAAGGGCATCCGCGCTTTACAATTTTAGATACAATCCCTTTACTACACGCTAGAAGGACATGCACGTTTACAATTCTACATACAATCACTTTACTACACGCCATAAAGACATACGCGTTTACAATTCTACATACAATCACTTTACTACACGCTAGAAGGACATGCACGTTTACAATTCTACATGCACTCACTTTACTACACGCCATAAAGACATACGCGTTTACAATTCTACATACAATCACTTTACTACACGCTAGAAGGACATACGCGTTTAGAATTCTACATACAATCACTTTACTACACGCCATAAAGACATACGCGTTTACAATTTTACATACAATCACTTCCCTACACGCAACAAGGACAGGAGCGTTTACAATTCTACATACAATCACTTCCCTACACGCTATAACGACATGCACGTTTTGAAGTTTAAAGCATCAATTTAAGCAGATTATCGCATCACAAGTTCAGTAGTATTTATCAGTAATGTTGAGTTGTATTTGTTTATCAATAATGTTCAGAAGTATTATCAATAATGCTGTGTCAACTACACTGTTTGGGCCGCGACATGAAACCGCCCCCACCCCCTTCCCCACTGTGTTGCCAAATAAACATATTTCTTAAGTGTTTCTCTTCTTTGCACTTGCACGTAGTAGATGTAATTCAAACCACCGACCTCCCACTGTTCAGGCAGAGTTACCAACGAGTTATACTGAAGTTTATTCACGGCAAATATATGTTCCCAGGTGGCAGGGGTGAACAAAGTCAAACTTTGGGGAAGTGTTCGTGTCGCTGTTTGTGGATGTTATAGACTGAAACAAAACATGAGAAAGGTAAATATTCAGTTCCTGATATTTATTTCACTTTTTCTTTCTTTCGTGTCTGAAAATACAGATTTGTTTTTTACTTTTCCGGTATGCTGTTTTCCCGTGGAGTTTCACTTTGTTGCCTGATCCACTGCTTCATCTCATGGATGGTCTGCGGCAGCTCCTGGTTGTTGGTCTCCGGTAGGAAGCGAACGATGAGAGCCACCACGATACACAATGTGCCGAACACAGTGCCAGGTGCCCACGGCAGGTAGCGGTACTGTCATATAAGAATCATAATAATAACCCCCGATTCCTCTAATTTGGAAACCCCTTATATGGGAAAATTCGTGACTAGATAAAGACAAAGGGATATTGTTTCGCATCCATTAGTCTTAAACGTAGACTATTTTACTGAGTATGGTCCGGATTACCGATGATAAACACATGCGCAGATAACAGGGGAAGTGTTACGGGACCGCATAGGTTTAACTGGGTATAAAACTGAGGATGTGGTAGTACGACGTATTGACAGGGGTTAGAATGGGCCTATGCTTTTCGTTTGAGGCCACTAGATGGATCAAGTGGTCAGGAGTGACTGAACCCCGCGGCGGGGACGGTGCTCATAATTTAAAAAATCACTGGTTTGTCGGGTCCACATTCATGTATTTACAGGATACCGTCATTTAGCTGGAATATTGCCTGAGTCAGCCCCAAACAACAAGCAAACAAACAGACAAACGCATCACGCAGATACAAAGGAAAATACCACAATGCCCACATGAACAAGGCATGGCCATTAAATTGCTATACAAATAGTATATTCTAATATTATTTACGTTGTTGAAGTTAAATGAAGTCACCAGACCGCCTGCAACCTAACAAGGTATGAAGCACATGAATAACGTAAAATAATATTCACTCAATCACCTACAGTACACTTACCAACGTTCGTGTAAATGGAGCAAAGAGTCCACCAATTCTAGCAGACATTGATGCCAGGCCAAGCCCAACATTTCTGAAAACATAGCGCCATTAACATGAGGATATAAAAACAAATTATACTTTTGCTTTGTAGCTATCATGAGTATTCCAGCTTTCGGGTGACTTGTAACCTCTGACAAGCGAGATTGTTGTAATTGTTTGGAATATGGGTCCTATGGCCTCAAATACAAAAAATATATGGAGTCGTTAATTACTATGAGAAGTACTGTGTGTAGTGCCTGATATATTACTTACATCTATATTAGTGCAACCATATGTATGCTCTTTTAAACGCATGTACCTAAGTTAACTTAAGTGTAACCACCTTTGTCTCGTTGCCATGGTTCTGTTTCTTTAAGCATTTAGACTATTTACCAGTACTCGTTACCGTTTCAGTTATATTTGAAGGATTCACATCAACACAACTACCTTCTTGTAATATCAATATCATTTACGTAAAAATTATCAGACGTGAATTAAGATTAAAGACAAGAGAATGTGAAAACTCCCGGAAACCTCGCGGTTTCTGATTTTGAAATACTGCAGTTTGAAATCATGAAGATCGATCCACGCGATTGGAGTACGATGACATGCAATCAGGAAAGTACCCCAGCCTGACCACCCGATCCCCTTAGTAGCCCAGCCTGACCACCCGATCCCCTTAGTCGACCAGGATGTCCACGGGGTTCACATTAAATAGAGAAAGTAAGTAAATGTTTATTTCCCCGGAGTGGGGTCCTAGTTAATGGACGTTACTGCAGGTGAATTTTCTCGAAATCTATTATAGTCAACTGACTTCATTTGGGTAATAATTAGAATAAAATTGTAACAATAAAATTCTCTTGTTTTGCTGTAGCAGCTCTTGAAGCCGTTTCATACGACAACATCATGATTTTCTTTGGACACTTAAGATATCATCCAGACTAATTTCCAATAGATAACAAGAAAAAAGCAATACCAATCACTTTAATGTAATATTTGCTTCCACATCGACAAATGTATACACTCATGTCACACAGTGCTCATACGTATTTAGAGACTTTAACACTATCATCAAATTCATTATACACATATCTTCATTAAACAATCTTCATGTCTTACCGTATGTTTGTTGGAAATATTTCAGGGGTATACAGCCACACAATTGAAAATGACGTCGATATTGCAAATTTTCCTATAAAGGCAAATGCTGTAACCGCTACAGTGAAGGAAGGAACTGTTTCTGAAATATCAGTTTAAAATGATATATGAATCATGTATAGAGTGAGTTGGTGTGAGATGCCACAAGTTCCAAATCTACTATGGTAAAAACATATTTATAGCCTTCAATCATTATACTATAATGTTCACTCGCTATACCGCTGCGTTCCCTACCAATAATACTGAGGCGGTAGTTGAGTGAGGGTAGTGGAGTGAGAGTGAGGGGAGGAGGTAGTGGAGTGAGGGGAGGCGGTAGTTGAGTGAAGGGACGCAGTAGTAGAATGAGGGGAGGAGGTAGTAGAGTGAGGTCAGGAAGTAGTAGAATGAGGGTAGGAGGTAGTAGAGTGAGGGGATGAGGTAGTAGAGTGAGGACAGGAAGTAGTAGAGTGAGGACAGGAAGTAGTAGAGTGAGGACAGGAAGTAGTAGAGTGAGACAGGAAGTAGAGTGAGAACAGGAAGTAGAGTGAGGACAGGAAGTAGTAGAGTGAGGGGAGGAGGTAGTAGAGTGAGGGGAGGAGGTAGTAGAGTGAGGACAGGAAGTAGTAGAGTGAGGGGATGAGGTGAGGTAGTAGAGTGAGGGGAGGAGGTAGTAGAGTGAGGACGGGAAGTAGTAGAGTGAGGGGATGAGGTAGTAGAGTGAGGGGAGGAGGTAGTAGAGTGAGGGGAGGAGGTAGTAGAGTGAGGACAGGAAGTAGTAGAGTGAGGGGATGAGGTAGTAGAATGAGGAGAGGAGGTAGTAGAGTGAGGACAGGAAGTAGTAGAGTGAGGGAAGGAGGTAGTAGAGTGAAGGGACGCAGTAGTAGAATGAGGGGATGAGGTAGTACAGTGAGGACAGGAAGTAGTAGAGTGAGGGGAGGAAGTAGTAGAGTGAGGGGAGGAGGTAGAAGGGTGAGGACAGGAAGTAGTAGAGTGAGAGAGGAGGTAGTTGAGTGAGGGGATTAGGTAGTAGAGTGAGGACAGGAAGTAGTAGAGTGAGGACAGGAAGTAGTAGAGTGAGGGGAGGAGGTAGTAGAGTGAGGAGAGGAGGTAGTAGAGTGAGGACAGGAAGTAGTTGAGTGAGGGGATGAGGTAGTAGAATGAGGGGATGAGGTAGTAGAGTGAGGGCACGAAGTAGTAGAGTGGGATGGGTGGGGGTTGGGGGTGGGTAGAACAGTGAGGGGAGGCGGTAGAAGAGTGAGGGGAGGGGGTAGTAGAGTGAGGGTAGGAAGTATTAGAGTGAGGGGAGGCAGTAATTGAGTGAGGGGAGGCGGTAGTGGAGTGGGTGAGGCGGTAGTGGAGTGGGTTAGGCGGTATTGGGGTGGGGGAGGCGGTAGTGGAGTGAGGGAATGAGGTAGTTAAGTGAAGGAAGGAGGTAGTAGACTGATGGGACGCGGTAGTGGAGTGAGGGGAGGCGGTATTGGAGGGAGGGGATGAGGTAGTAGAGGGAGGGCATGAAGTAGTAGAATGAGGGCACGAAGTAGTAGAGTGGGATGGGTGGGGGTTGGGGGGGGTAGAAGAGTGAGGGAAGGCGGTATTAGAGTGAGGGGAGGCGGTAGTGGAGTGAGGGAAGGGGTAGTGGAGTAAGGAGAGGCGGTAGTGGAGTGAGGAGAGGCGGGAGTGGAGTTAGGGGAGGAGATGGTAGAGTGAGGGGAGGCGGTAGTGGAGTGAGAAGAGGGAGTATAAGAGTGAGGGGAGGCGGTATTAGAGTGAGGGGAGGCGGTAGTGGAGTGAGGGGAGGGGTAGTAGAGTGAGGGGAGGGGTAGTAGAGTGAGCGGAGACGGTAGTAAAGTGAGGGGAGGGGTAGTAGAGTGAGGGGAGGGGGTAGTAGAGTGAGGGGAGGGGTAGTAGAGTGAGGGGAGGGGTAGTGGAGTGAGGAGAGGCGGTAGTGGAGCGAGGAGAGGCGGTAGTAGAGCGAGGGGAGGCGGTAGTAGAGTGAAGGGAGGCGGTAGTGGAGAGGGGAGAGGCGGTAGTAGAGTGAGGGGACGCAGTTACTCGATGAGATAAAAGTGGTATTTGAGAAAACACATTAAATATCCTCTATATATCAGATCAGCAGTAATCTATCGAGTATGGAAGAAACCAACCACTGACAGAAAGCATGAAATGCAAAATTGTAATAAGTTACCTTTGAAGTTGTCAAATAGCACCGAGGCTATCAGTGATACGCCTGCTATTAGATGAAAGACCTGGCAAGTACGTTTCCTTCCAAATCTGTGGAGTATAAGCCCATAAAATCACCGTACACAGATATTTACCCCTAATGAGAGTTATATGGTCTTATATCCGTTGTATTCTATCTAATTAATTGAGACCACGTAAATCATTACCGGTCAACTGTGAGCCAAAATGTGATAACGCTCAAAACATCCGTGATACAGTTCAAACCAAAGCCGATGTATTTGTCACTGTGGAACTTTGTCGAGTTGAGATACAGTCCATAGTAGGTGAGGCTGTTGGTTACCCTAAACACAAAACAAAAAAATGATATGCACGGAAACACATGCAATCCGGCTATTTTGTTTGTTTGTTTGTTTGTTGCATAACACCGCACTCAACATTTTTCCAGCTACATGAAGTCCGTCTGTACATAACAGAATACAGACCGGCAACCAAGTGATTCTTATCAACGATCAAATTTATTAGAGTATGTTCAAACGTCATGTATGTAAGACATCAATGACCAAAACAGGTGTAAGACATCAGTGACACTTTAATATGTCTGACTCAACATGTGCTTGAGTACGAGGGAGATAACTCCCGGTGGTTTTAGATTCCAATCAACTTGACACAACGAAGGACCTGGTTAAGTCAACCTGCATAAGCATTCTATGACACCTCCCTTCTTAAGATATTTATTCAACATGTAACTTTCTTATAAATGTTCCTGAAATAAAAGTTATAAATGTAACTGCATGCAAGCCTTAGAGTCCATAATATAAATCCTATCACTTATCTCTATTTTACTTCAAATTAAAGTCTCTTCTCTGGTATTAAGTGTTAACTGCAAACACATTATCAATTGTCCATCACAACACTGGACTATCATTACTAATCATTATTTAAACTTGAACTTTAAAACACTTTAAAGGCAATCTGAGTATCTGGCTAGTGGCTTCATCACACGACTGCTGACACGAGTGATGACTGGTCCGGTTGTGGCCTGCGACGTTGACAACGGTGCTGACCCTTCCGCTGACTGTGACAATGACTGTGATGATGACTGTGACGATGACGTTGTAGTTGATGACAGTGGTGTCTTCACTGGCTGTTGGAACTGTGTTGTGTTGTTGGATGTTATGGGAGATTCAATTGGAGTATGGCCTCTTTCATTGTTGTCAAAACACAATTTCAGTGGGTTAATTTCATTTGTTTTCAGGAGATCTCTCCGGTTTCTCCTGAAGAATCTTCCACTACTTTCAGCAATGTATGAACGTTGTTCTTTGCTTGGTTTGACTACAGTTCCTGGTATCCATTTACCGACCTTACATTACCTTGTTGAAGTGGTTTCACCTCTTTGCATTTCCTGTCATGATAATATTTCTGTTCTTACTGTGTCTGTTTCAGGTTACTCCTGACATGGCTGTGATCGAATCCTGGTTTCAGGAGGCTTGGTTTAGTTGGAATAACTGTTCTTGTTCGACGACCCATCAGTAGCTGTGTAGGAGATCCAATGTCGGCTATGGGAGTATTTCGGAGATTCAACAATGGAAGATAGGGATCCTGACCATCGTCCTTTGCTTTCTTGAACAATCTTTTCACAGTTTGTATGGTTCGCTTTGCCAACCCATTGCTTTGTGGTTAATGAGGAGATGACGTCTTGTGTTCAAATCCATATTCTCTTGCGAAATCATGAAACTTATAATTTGTATACTGTGGTCCATTGTCTGTCATTACAAATTCTGGAATCCCATGCCTTGCAAAATGTTCTTTCAGGATGTTAATTGTAGTAACAGCCTTCATGTCATGTAGTTTGGAGACCTCAAACTACTTTGAGTAATAATCAACCACAATGATGTAGTGTTCACTTCCCAGTTCAAATATATCTGATCCAACATCTTGCCACGGTCTGTCAGGTATGTCATGCTGAATCAACGGCTTTCGTTGTTGACGTTTTCTGTAGTGACAACACACACCGCAGCTTGATACTAAATCTCTGATATGTGCATTCATGCTTGGTCAATAGAGTACTCATGTGCACGGTGCAAACATTTTCCCACTCAAACGTGACTCTGATGAAATTTTCTCAACATTTCTCTGTGCATGCTTGTAGGTACGATGATGCATTCACCTTTCAACAAGAGTCCATCTTGAAATGAAATCAATTCACGAGTATTCCAGTGTGGCTTAATTTCCCAACCTTGTTAGGAACATCAGGCCATCCATGAAGAACATACTCCTTTAGTTTTTGTAGAGAACTGTCATTTTCTGTTTCCAACCTCATTTCGGCCAGTCGATTTCTGGAAATTGGTAAGTTCTCAACTGTAAGTACCTCCAAATCCATATTTTCAGATTCCTCTAGGCTCAGGGTATCTGAGATGTACATTTCTGATACAGGTCTGTATATGACTCTCAAGTCATATTTCTTTACTTTCAACATGAGGCATTGAATCCAGGGTGGCGCTGCTGACAACGGTTTCTGGAACAGGTATCCAGGGATCTGTGATCAGTTTCCATGACAACAGTTTTCCATATATGTACTTGTGGAATTGTGTTGCTCCGTAAGACAATAGCTACCATCTCCTCCTCAACTTGCACGTACTTCCATTCCACAGGGTTGAGTGATCTGGAAGCATATGTTACAGGCTGTTCCTCTTGAGTGATATACGCTCCAACTCCACGTGATGATGTATCCACAGAAAGCTTGATTGTAGAGCTGACATTGTTATATTTCAATACTAGTGAATTGAGATCACTGTTTTCAGGTTGTTTCACGTTGTCTTTCAGTCCACTCCCAGTCAACATTCTTCTCCAAGAGCTGTCAAAGAGGCTTGTTAATTAATAAGAGGTTTGGTATGAATTTTCCCAAATAATTGACCATTCCCATGAATCTTTGTAGATCTTGTTTAATCTCTGGAGCTAGCATCTCTGTGATTGCTCGAAGTTTGTCTTCACATGGTTTCAGCCCTTCCACACCGAATGTATGTCCGACTTATGTTACTTCCTTCAGCCTGAACTTGCATTTCTCTTTGTTTAGCTTCAAGTTCATATCAGAACACTTTGTCAGCACTTTTTCCACTACTTTTTCATGTTCTTCCACTGTCTTTCCCCATATCAAAATGTCATCAGCTATGCTGTCACATCCATCAATATCCTCAAACATATGTGTCAATGTTCCATGAAAAATCTCTGGAGCACGGCTAATCCCAAAGGGTATTCGTTCAAATTTATACCTGCCGAAGGGTGTATTAAAGGTGGTGAGCCAGGTACTTTATTCATCCAGTTCTATCTGGTAATATCCAGATGCTGCGTCCAGTTTCGTGAATACCGAGGCGGTCGGGTAGCCTAGTAGTTAAAGCATTCGCTCGTCACGCCGAAGACCCAGGTCGATTCCCAACATAGGTACAATGTGTGAAGCCCATTTCTGGTGTTCCCCGCCGTGATTTTGCTGGAATATTGCTAAAAGTGACGTAAAACCGTACTCAATCAATCAATCGTGAATACTGTTGCTTCCTTCAGGTTAGCTGCAACTTCCTCTACAGGCTTCATAGGGAAATGTTCACGAAGTATAACTTGATTCAAGCTGTGCCGATCAAGGCAGATCCTTACTTTCTTGTTTGGTTTTTCTACAACGACAATAGGGCTGACCCACTTTGTTGATTTTGTTACCCTTGTTATTATGCGGGCTTTCTCCATTCTGTTCAATTCAGCCTTCACTTGATCCTGGAGGGCATATGGTATCTTTCGTGATGGCTGAACTACTGGTGTTACAGACTCGTCCACGTTCATGTGATGTTTGATGCACTTGATCTACCCAAGACCCTTGAATGTAGACTTGAACTCGCTGAATATCTGTGATGTATCTACTTTCTCTTCTTTTTCAGCTGTGAACATCGGCTTGATCAAGTTCATTTCCATGCACGAAGAAAGTCCTAGTACTGGCTTTACGTCTCTGTCTACGATGACAAACTCCACAGGAAACATCTTCTTCTTGTATTCAACAAGAAGATGTGCTTCACCCATCGGTTCCAGCTTTTGTCCAGAAGTTGACACTAGCTTTGCCTTTGATCTGGTAAGCATTCTTTCTCCAAGCGATTTGTAAAATTCCTTTGACATGACGTTACATTCAGCTCCAGTATCCAGTTTCATTGAAGCTTGGTTTCCACAAACTTCAAAATCAATTTTCCAGTCTTTTTCTGTGTCTTTTCCATTTGTCAGTGTGTCTATGAATAAAGTTTCTTCTTTGTTTCCATCAGAATCTTCAGATTCATTATCTGTCATGTCATTTTCCAGCATGTGAACTTTTTTCTTCCTTGTATCCTCTTGGTTGAAATGACAAACGCGTGCCATGTGATTCTTCTTGCCAGAATTTCCACATGTTTCACCATATGCAATACAATTTCCTTTTCTGTGTTTTTATCCACAAAAATAACAGTCCTTTTTCATTTCTGTTTCATTACCTATCTTCATACCTGTCCTTGAATTTGTTTTTTCTTTCGGTTGGATTTCTTTTTTATTCACTTTGATGAGGATTTTGGTGCAGCTTTTTTCCTTGGATTATCTTCGAAATTTCATAAATTTGTTTTTCTGTTTCTCCTGCTAACTCTGTCTATCGCCTTGTCGCACCAGTCTTGCCCTAACTTTATCACTGACAATTCCACAAACAATGCGGTCTGTAATCAAAGAGTCATTCAAATTGCCATATTCACAAGTCTTTGCCTTATTTCTGAGATCAGTAACATAATTGTCTATAGATTCATTTGGACCTTGATTTCTGGTGTTGAACAAATGTCTCTCATAACATTTTTTCTTGGGTTACAGTAAGCTTCAAATTTCTCATAAATTGGCTCTAATTTTGTTTCATCTCCTGCATTTGTCCATCTGAAAGTGTTGTAAATCTCTAAAGCATCAGTTCCAAGCACATGAAGCAATGTATTTGCCTGCACTACTTCATCCTTCTCAGCAGTACCGCTTGCAATCAGATAAATTCTTAATTGCTGCTAAAACCATCTCCAGTTTTCTGCCAAATTGCCCTTCAAACTCAGTCCAGGAGGTGGGCTTAATTGTTCCTTTTCCAGTTTACTTCTGACACCATGTGAGACATCAATGACCAAGACAGGTGTAAGACATCAGTGACACTTTAATATGTCTGACTCAACATGTGCTTGAGTACAAGGGAGAAAACTCCAGGTGGTTTTAGATTCCAATCAACTTGACATGCACAACATGTCTTTAACCTAGTTAAGTCAACCTGCATAAGCATTCTATGAAAATATATATTAAAAAAGGACCTTTTCATCTCTGGGCGGTGGTGTTAGGAATGTGTTAACATGGATGTACAGTTGGGGAAGGATACGCTAAAATCTTCGCCAACATCTGGTATTTGATGGTGATTCATGAACACATGATATAGTTGGAATCGTACACATACTCTGCTTTTAGCAGAGATCTTTATTATGATTTTAATGTTTTTTGTCGCTTTCATTTGCCAGACAAATAAATATAGGTCTCGCTAGATCGCTAGATCAGCTTCACCCCGGAAGATGAAAAGGCTGGTCAATAACCTACCACATAAACCACGTGACTGCGGACAGCTTGAGTATCTCTCTATCCTTGAAGATCTGCAGAATTGGCTTCTCCTCTGTTCCTTTACCATGAACGTTTCTGTTGTTTTCACCTTGTCAAGGCCACGGTTGGAGTGTGTATCAAGGAGAGAGTGATGTTCCTCATTTGGCGACATCACCTTCTCTCTGAAGAGAGCCGTGATAACATTTTCATCAACATGGTTCACACGACAAGCCTTCTTCAAGTTGCGCTCTATGATGTGGTATTTCTTGTTTGCTGCAAGCCACCTGTAGCTTTCATCCAATATCCTGCAGCAAAAATATAGAGTAATGAGTGAGTGAGTTGGGCTTAACGCCGCTTTGAATTGCAGTGATTTCACAACGTATTTACTTAATATGAGAGGAAAGCCCGATCCCAAAGAATAAATTAAGAAATGAATCCAACGCAAGTCTAGAATAATTTGTCAAATCTAGATTTCCCCAGATCTAGGCCTCAGCACTTTATTACAGTCTATTTGGATTTTATTTCTTGGGCATGCCAGGAACCTATGATCGTAGGTTCCAATCCCGGTTCACTCCGATTATGTTTCTTGGTTTGTCAGCACCATACCGGTGGGTTTCATCAAAGTGGTAAACGTCTGAGACCTGCATGAATTCAGGCTTTCCTGCCACATCAAAGCTGACACGCCGTGATATAACTTGAATACTGTTCATAGCGGCGTTAAATCCACCTTACTCACTACCAAGCTTGAGAACAAAATCCATCAATATGTATTCAACTAACCTACCGGAAACAAGCAACAGCTCTTCTTGTTGTTTAATTTTTAAATAGAATATAGAAACACAAATGCTACAAAATAGATCATATCTTTCCGAGGCAAGGGAGTTAACTGACTTTAAAAATCCAGTTTCCACTCTTGCGGAACTGAGACTGAATTATGGAGTCAGATTTTGCCTGGACTAACGAGTAGTACTTAAAAGTCCCGTAACAACATGGCAACCGCCGTGCCTAATTCGTTCGATCGCAGGATTTGCAGAGCATGTTTACCGTCAACATATTATTTCTAAATCTTTTCATGTTTTTAATCAAGGGTGCTCAGGTGATATGATGCACTTTGAGACGTAAAATCCATTTTATTACAATCGATCTCAGAAAGATGGGAAGATGAGGTGAGGTAAGGTGACATGGGGCTTAACGTGGCGTCCACGATTATTTCACTTATAGAGCGATGTGCATGTGTGGCCGCTTGTACTAGCCCGGACTAATGCCGATTTTAAAGTGCTAGCCCACTGGGCATGCCGCAGTGTAACATGAATACCCACTCAGACACAGTAGTCTAACTCCGAGCTGACCATGCCAAGCGACAGGCATGGTAACAATAGATACCATCTTTTAACATCTTTTGTTATGATGCGGCCAGGGATCGAACCCCGGACCTTCCACTCTACTGGCGGACGCTCTACCACTAGACCACGGAGGTGGTCTCAATGGAAGAAGATATACTTACCAGGGTAAAAATATAAAGTAAGACGATGTGAGGCCCGTAACTAACTGATGAATCCTCCAGCTCATGTTCCTCGCGAGGTAGGCAAATGCAGCATAGATCACTATTGAAACTGACCAGCCCCCACTGATTATGACAGAGATGGTTGATCTCTGTTTTGCTGGGACAAGCTCCAGACAGAGTGATGTCGAGGCTATGACACAACCCTGGAATAAAGCGCGTGCGGAATAGTTTGCATCTTACAATTTGTTTTTTTCTCAAAAAGAACATTAGATACAGATATGCCCCGTGAAGATCCGGGGTAGGATAGGTCTTCAGCAACTTCACAACTCGGGTGGTCAGGCTCGCTGACTTAGTTGATGCATGTCATCGTATCCCAAGTGTGTAGATCAATGCTCATGATGACAACCCATGGATTGTCTGGTTCAGACTCGATTATTTACAGACCACCGTCATGTAGCTCGAATATTGCCGAGCGCGGCGTTAAACAACAAACATATGGCGCGGTCTTAAAGTTTTGCCCACCTTAATAATCAAGAGCATATGTACGATATTTATATATTGGTATGGCACCATATTGGGTATAATTTGAGTGTGGTGACAGGTTATGGAGCTTGGCAAGTCAGGATGTGGTTGTATTGAGCGCATGAGGATGTAGGTCTAATGGGCGAGTTAAGATTTGTATATACTGTTGTGAAGTTATGGGCATTTCGGCGATTGAGTATGTGTGTGTTTTGGGCGAGTGAGAATGTGTGTTTTGGGCGAGTTAGTATGAGTGTCTTTTGGGCGAGAGAGTATAAGTGTGTACTGGGCGAGTGAGTATGAGAGTGTTTTTGGCGAGTTAGGATGTGGTGTATAGGGCGAGTGAGTGATGGTGTGGTTGTATGAAGCAACTGAAGTTGTGGGAGCTGGGATGTGTCTGTATTGGGCGAGTAAGTATGCGGGTGTTTCGGGCGAGTACGTATGAGTGTGTATTGGGCGAATGAGTATGAGTGTGATGGTGGTTGGTTGGTTGTTTACGCCGCACTCAGCGATATTCCAGCTATATGACAGCGGTCTGTAAATAATCTAGTGATTAATATCATAAGCATCGCCCCACACAATTGGGATACGATGACATGCATCAACCAAGACAACGAACCTGACCACCCGATCCCGTTAGTTGCCTCTTACAACAAGCACAGTCGCCTTTTACGGCAAGCATGGGTTGCTGAAGATCTATTCTACCCCGAATCTTCACGGGCCGTATCAGTGTGGATTGGGCGAGTGAGAATGGGGGTGTTTTTGGCGACCGGACGGTTATTGATGTTATAGTTGTGTATGGAATGAAATTGTGTCAGGCGAGAGAACCCTGTGAGTGTGTTGTCTTGGGTATGTTGGGCGAGTTAAGATGTGTATGAAGTAGTCAATCGGGGATGTCGGCCTGTTGGGCGAGTGAGGCCGTTGAGTGTGTTGGCTTGTGGTCTTATTGGGCATGAGCTTGTCGATAGATGGTAGCTGGCATGCTTGGTGCCTACATAAATATTACCATCATCGCCGCTCCCTGTAGAATCTTCAGGGCAGCGAAAGCAGCATATTGTGGAACAAATGGCATGACAGTGCCAACTGCGAAGGCTGAGATCCCAGCCATAACCAAGGAGTACTTGCGCCCATACGTATCAGCTATGACTGGGAAAACGACTGCTCCTACACCCAGACCAACCATATAGAAGGTTTGAAGAAGATCACCAAGACTTTCTTTTTCACAAACAAGGTCCCACTGTGGAATAGACAACGCCAATGATAATATCATGGTACTATATTTACTATAATGTTACCCATTACAAAGCACAATAGGAAAATTTGATGCGAGTAAACATGCATGGGTTTTGTGGTTACAGAATTAATTAGAATGTTGACAGACTGAACACCTTTGCGCTTGCATTGTTTTGCTCATCATTCTTCTTTTTTTTTTACAATTATTCAGTATTGTATCATACAGTTTAATGTAACAGTAATTCAAATTCACAAACGAGTATTAAAATTCATGTATTAAATCCAATGAATAATTATTTGGTTCCAACTGATTGTATTTCATATTAGATTACCAAACACCTCTCTGAAAGATAACTTTACTTTAAAAGAAAAGCTGGGGATCATGACATATAAATGTTAGGATCGGCCTTTAGAAGAAATATCAGCTTTGAAAAATGACTGCTGCAGATTGAAAGATGTCGGAGCCAACACCATACGCCCAATCACACTCGAAACATTGCACGTGGGCCATGAAATTCCTCGGTGCACGTGGGAAGGGGGTCTTGCTCGATTTTGACACTTACCAATTAGTTATTGTTAACTGTATAAACTTTGATGTCAATAAGTATATATACCTATGTTGTTTAGCACTATTCATCCCTTGCTTGATAAAGGTGTTAGGATCTACACCGAAACGTCGCACTAATTGTAATAAAGAGGTTGTTCATCCATAGAACTCGTCTTACTTCATCACACCAACTTCTAAATGCCACTGAAAGAAGTTAGCTATTGTTAATTTTCATTTTATTTCATTTTCCACAGTAACACCTAAGGTCTCTATTTTTGCTTTAAAGTGGCTTTTGCGATCAAATTGGGAATGTGTCGTCTACAACGTGATAAACGCTAAAGAGCTGTTGGCATGTTTCAAACTGGAAGAATTCAGCAAGAGGCATCTAATACGTCCCACGTGTTTCCGCCTATGATTTGCTGACTTTGGAAGAGGTTTCTGCAGTAAGAAAATGTTAATGAACGGCCCCGCACAGGGATCCCTACGTCAACAACTTTGAAACCAGGCCCAAACAGCTGCCAATCGCTGTTTACTTGCGCCAGGCCACCGAACTGGGGCTGGTACTGAAATCGTCTGATTGTAGCTAATTTCCATACTCGGCGACCTCGTGTTGTGCCATCGTTAACAAATCGACATATTCCAACAAGAAGCCAACGTTATTTAGCAAGAGCAAGAGGGGGAATCGCCGATGGCCAAGTGTAATGTTCTCGATAGACGTGGATGTATCTGGAGACGTTCAAACGAACGTCCTACGAACATCAACGTAAGGCAACATGAAAAATTTGGGGCGGATCAATATGACTGCCAGCACGCCACTTCATATTGTCCAAGGAAGGGACACTAAACAGCACAACATACTTGTTGTGCCTCTTGTTCGTCATGTTGCTCTACGTTTTGTCTTTCAAGACAATAAGTCGTGTCAACCATGCAAGTATCGTAACTGACTTCATCCAGCAGCAAAACATGACCAGAATGCAGTCCTGACCTTTCCCCAATAAAGCATGTCTGGGACATAATCGGGAGACGTCAACGTCAAAGGCCACAAACTACATTAGCCGAACTGGACCAAGGTGCTGCAAGAGGAATGGACGAGACTCCCTCAACTTGTCACTGGGAGATTAAATCGGACCATGCCACGCCGTACAAACGAATGTTTGATGAATCGTGGGAGCATGGTCCATTGCATCTTCTCGAGGCAAGCCTTGGATCAAGTCATCTCAAACATTCCTTTTTACACACCCTTGCCGTCTTTCTTGGTTGTTTGCACAACACACCTTTGTTCTGTTGATTGTCATGTTGCATCTGGTACCTCCTTTGTCTTTATCCACTACCATCACCCGATACCTCTTGGTATTTCTGTACTGTTTGGGGTAGAGTATCGGACACATTTACCCTCAATTTCCATTTTTTCACAAATATTCTATTCGTAAACAACGTATCCGAAAACAGGTACAACGTCATCTGCAAAAGACAACAAATGAAACTTTCTTCTTTTATGCTTTTACCTCGGATACAAGGGACAATTCTCTTGCCGCTTCATATTCATAGCCCTCAATGCAGTCCAGTCTCTTGCTTTCCAAATGGTCCGACATGTTGGTTGTGATGGTGATGCCACATTCATGGTATGTGATGTTTAATCCAGCGTCATCTTCCCCAACTGGAAGACCTTCTTCAACTGATGTACGGTTAAGCTCTTTACACCGGAATGGGACATAAGATCCTGCATACGGAAGGTATAAAAAACAAACACGTTAATATCATTTTGGCTGCATAAAAGATGTTTCTCGGGAACATTTTTCTCAAAGGTGGGAAGATTTGTGGGACCTTTATATCTGTAACTTAAACATCTTTAACATATACAGTATAGCCAAGAAACAGTTGATGCCTAAATATAATCTTTGTCAGCAAGGGAACTCTTTCCGCCATAAAGTTCCCGCTCCTTACAACACGTAGCTGTAGGATGTGAGAGAGTGAGTGCCGGGTAGCTTTTCGTGTTGCATAATGTGCTTTCTCTTTTTCGAATTGTATATATTCATGGATGCTGGATTTGGAGAATTGTAATCGTTTTGTACCACATTCTTCCGGATGTCAGGATGAGGATCTGAAAGCGAGTTTCCACCTTCATAACAGTATGAAGACTGTAACGTTAGCTTTAAAGAGGAAATACACATTGAGCTATATTTTTGTAGTTTTCATGAACTGTATTCATGTTTTATGATATTATTAAAAAAATGCTGACTTATTTGAATGTTTAAGTTCTTCGCGATTGGAGGTAGTAACAGGCGTTGGGAGGTGAGACTGCATTGAGGTCTCGTGTCTTCGCCGTTTCTTACCCATAGTTTGTATTACAACTGTTGTAAACGGGAACAAAATGTATACAGTGTTTGTGAATAAACCTAGGCTATAGCGTGATATGTGTATCACATCTTATGTTGCCACTTATCCCATTTTCAACAAAACTGAAGCTAATAGCAAAATGATACAATATTTGTATGTCTTCGCTGACTCTTACCCATTTTGTGTTAAAAGTATTGCATCATTTGATGATCCGTGGCGCCATAGACATGATATGTTCACCAGATGTGCAATAACGTCGACATTTCACCCATGGCGCAATTGACCCATGAACATCCGGGTTAGAACAGGTATTCAACAATCCATGCTTGTCGTAAAAAGCGACTATGCTTGTCGTAAGAGGCGACTGACGGGGTCGGGTAGCTAGGCTCCCTGACTTGGTTGAAGCATGTCATCGTATCCCAATTGCGTGTATCGATGCTCATGATGTCAATCACAGGATTGTCTGGTCCAGACTCTATTATTTACCGACCACCATTATATAGCGGAGTGCGGCGTTAAACAACAAACAAACATACTATAATTGTGGCATGTTACCGTTGATTGCTGGACTCTCTACATTCACTGTATCCTGACGACTGCGCTACCATGACTGACGTCATCAGTTTCAGCTACCATAGGACATGTTGTCAACCCTCAACAAAGACTCAGGTAGGCGAGTCTGTACAACGATGGCAGAACAGAAACCGTTTTCTGATGAGAGCAGGTTACAGCCCTTCACAACAGATGGATGTGGGACAGGGTGTGCATGTGTATCGTCGTTGGGAAAAACGCACGGCTCATTGTGTCCAGGATACTGTTCTATATTGATGTGACAGGATACTGGTTTTGGCAGTGTTTTGCGTCTAGCTGTCCTTCTGCCCGTATTTCCATCTGTCCGTCCGCTTCTCAAAGGGGACAACTTTTCTCAAAAACTATTTAAGTCAGAAAAATGAAATTTCACACACTGATATAACTGGTCATGATCTTAAATGACTTCGAAAATTCATTTTTTACAGAGTTATGGCCCTTGTTCCATGCTTTTCAAATTCGTGCATACTGGGGACGCGTTTTCTCAGACACTACTGAAATTACATGAATGAAAGTTTGCATGCTTATCTAAGAGATACTTGTGAAGGCTGAGTTCGAAAATTGGTTTTACCCAGAGTTACTTCCCTTCCTACGTGTTTTTTAAGATTTGAGCATACACAGTTTCAGCCCTTGATCCATGTTATTTTACAAAGTGCATATAAGCGTCTTCAATGGGGACAAGTTTTCTCAGAAACTTTTGAAGTTAGCTTACCTAAGAGATACGTATCAAGACTGAGTACGAGAATTGGTGCCGTACATTATTTTCTTCCAGAAAAGAGGCCTTTTGTGGGTATCAGTTTCACATTTAATACTTTGTTCTGCTGAGATAAAGCGACCCTATTGCCTATCTCTTCTTAAGGCTTTATAGGTCTCTTTTTTTCTAGTTTTTCTAACAAAATTCTAATGTGTCCCAGGCGGGGATAGTGATAAGGTTGTTTTCTTGTTTCAAGTGCAACCATGCATTGTGATTCTAATGTCAACCATATTGTGATAACAGTGACTCAAAACTGACAACATTCCCCATTTCCTTAGGTATCATTACATATAATGCAAAATCACGAATTATATAGAGTATGTTGTTAGGTAATGTATGTATATATTAGCACAGTGCATTCTACTGACACGAAGTTCACTAAAACATTACAATACTACATGCTTTGCATTTGAAAAGAAAGACAATACAAACCTTATTTATTATGACAAGTCACCATTCGAAGTTTATAAGTTACCTCATTAGTAAATACAATTTGGTAAATACATAACTTTAGTTACTCAAGAAAACCGGATGGCTGGCGTTTCCCAGTGGTTAATGTCCGCGTTAAGCACATTTGTCTCCAGTATGATCTGAGTGAACAACATATACTCGAGAACCATGACACTTTGTTTGGACAAGGGTGTGTGTATTCTCATGTATAGGTATTATTTACTGACTCACCTGTGAATATGATACAGGAAACTGCGAAGGCAGTAGGTAAAATACTTAGGACCAGTGGAATTAGTTGATAAATCTGATATACCCCTCTCCATTTCAAGGCCAATAGTATGCTATCGAAGCCTTCATCGCTATTTGAGGCGGCCATCACCCTGATATGTTATAGCGCAAGTAACTGTAGGTATAGTGGAGAAACTGTTTCTGATATTAACCCTTAATACCACAGTGAAACCGATATCAGTGAACCTGCTGACGGGCATTACTGAAGGGTGAGGATACAAATGGTTAAACTGTGCACGGCTTTTATATACTACTCAAAATAAGTTAAAGAACACCAGATATATAATACACGATTTAGCAAATTGGTCATGGCATTATGTGTTATAACATTACTATCATCTAATGTTTGGCAACATGTTGCACCACGTCTGGGGTATTGCTGATCCTCCTGACACTTTCTGGAAACACTTCTGGTAGTCATGCAAATGAATTGAAAACATGAGCAAAACACAGGAATATTGTCGCCCAAACACAACGCTGCACCTATCCTTAGCAACAACCAACACAATTTTCATGCTCAGCATATGAAAGTGGTGATGTTCATGGTGCACGTGCATGCTTTCCCTTTAAGAAGGCGATGACGATGATCGTGTTATCACACTTTCCAAAACCATGCCACAGAGACGACATCTGACTGATGTTGATAGAGGACGAGCTATTGGTTGGCTCCAGGAAGGCCTTTCTTTACGTGAAGTGGGCAGAAGATTGCAGGTGTCCCCCTCTGTCATTCACACCCTTTGGCATCGTTTTGCTGCCACTGGCAGAGTGCAAGAGCGACATCGTTCTGGACGGCCAAGGTGTACCTCACAACGTGATGACCGATACCTGGTTCTCCAAGCACTCAGGCAGCGTACATCAACAGCAAACAACCTCAGGTTACAGTTAAGGGCTGTCAATAACACTGTCGTTAGTGATCAGACGGTGCGAAACCGTTTACGAGCTGCGCACTTGAGAAGTCGACGACAAGCAGTGAGACCACCTTTACGTCCAGTTCACAGAACAGCACGTCTGGCTTGGTGTCGACAACATGTGCGTTGGAACAGACAGCAATGGTCTCGTGTACTGTTTACAGACGAGTCCCGATTCTGTTTGCAGCTCAATGATGGAAGAATACGGGTGTGGCGTCGTACTGGAGAGAGATTCACTGATGCCACAGTACGTGAACGTGTCGCTTTTGGAGGGGGATCAGTGATGGTATGGGGAGGATTCTGTTGGAATCACAGGACTCCTCTGTACCATATTGTCGGGAATCTGAATGCTGCCAGGTACCGTGATGAGATTCTTGAACCCCTGGTATTGCCCACACTTCGTCAGATTGGTCAAGGTGCTATCCTTCAGGACGACAATGCAAGACCCCATCGCGCTCGGATTATCACTGACTATCACAGACAAAGGCAGATTACCGTTATGCAATGGCCTGCTTATTCGCCAGATCTGGCGCCCATTGAACATCTTTGGGATGCCTTGGGAAGAGCCGTTCAAGCTAACCACCCACCTCCTGTTAATCTCCAGCAACTGTTAGGATTTCTTCATCAGGAATGGCAAGCAATTCCACAGACAACACTGCAGCAGCTTGTCCGATCTATGCGTAGAAGATGTCAGGACTGTATTGCTTCCAGGGGTGGGTATACCCGATATTGAAGGAACAGGATTATCCTGAACTGTAGTGTGTGACTTTTGATTTATAGGGTACATGCAATTCATACTGATTTGCTCTGGTCAGCTGTATGCCAGCGTTTCTTTCGTCAATGAAATGTCATGATTAAATACTTATCTTTCCCAATCAGTGTTGTTCCTGTAGCCACGATTTATTTTTTGAGTGATTTTGATAACTTATTTGGGTGTTCTTTAACTTCTTTTGAGTAGTATATATATGCGTGCATGTCCATGTAAGACTATGAATAATTGATCACCTGACTCTACATATATGTAATCTTGGTTTAAATATGCAAATGTTTCACATCAATTTCTGCTCATGATCTCACATGCTGATGACAATGTATTTTGTTCACTTTGATGACCTGGCATTATTTGGATTGAAAGTTGCACCCGTGTCGAGGGGCGAACGCTTTCCCCCAAGGATACAAGTCGTGAGAAGCTTATTGAAACAGAAAACACAAAAACACATTCTATCTACAAACGTATTTCTTTAGTGAGGCATCACGTGCAGTGTAGCTTGACTGTACACGCCGTTGCAGTATATGTACCATGTATAAAGACTTTTTTTTCGATTGAAAGTGAGGGAATGCTGATTTGAATAGTATTGAGGTTAAACGAAACAGCTTGATGTTGAAAGAACGGAAATAGAGCATATACTGGCAGGCACATTGTCAGGCTGACGTATAGAATGTATGTGTAAGTTCTGTATAAGGCTAAACAAGAATAATTCTATAAGGGAACCCTCGAGCCCTTTCTGTTTCTTAGAGTGAGTGAGTGAGTGAGTGAGTGAGTGTGGTTTTACGGCGCTTTCAGCAATTTTCTAGCAATGTTACAGCTGGGGACACCAGATATGGTTTGAATACATTGTACCCACGAAGGGAATCGAACCCGGGTCCTCGGCGTAATAAGCAAACGCTTTAACCATAGCCTTACCCCACCGCCCCGTCTATTTCCTGGAGTTGATGATGGGATGGGTATATGCTGACAGTGGATAAGGGCTAGAATAGGATTGGGTGATTGCTTTACAAGCACGGGTGTGTAAAGGAGACTATCATATCTTCGAACCATACCAAAAGGTGCAAATCTGAAGACGATCAGGGACTACAGGTACATGGTGAAGTCACAATGACCTCGTACATGTTAGTTATATTTGAATTTGATCTTTTTACATCATATTCTTGATATTTGAAAGCCAACGGAAATGCGAGAATGTGCAAACTATATGATATTTGTCTTTAAGCCATCAAAAGTCTATTTCTGGGTACCCCCCCCCCCCCCCCCCCCCAACATTTACACATGGGCTCCACTTGGGGTAAAGTGGGCTGGGAAATCGGTCCTAGATGGGTTGCCCTTCTGGGCCCCGTTCGGATTTGTGCAAGGGTTCCAGCAGGATCCCAAATGGGCATACATTATATTGCCCAGATGGGAGCCAGGGGCTTGTGCCTCTGAAGGTGTGTATGAGTTGTTTCCTGCATGCATATCACATGCAGCCCTTTTGTGGTATCTCTACCTCATACATGCATATATTGGTCAAATTAATGTGCATTAAACACACCCCGTTCTCCACTGTGACAACACAAACATTCACGACAACAGTTTTCAGTCAGCAAGAAGAACTGTTTGGGTTGTATTTTCTTTATTTAGATCCTTCAATCACAGCATTCATGCACGTATCGACCTTTTCTTTATATATTTTTAGCTAATCCACGAAACCAAGAATATAATGTGTTGTCCTTACTGTCGTAACCATTTCTGCTGTGACTACGCAAGACATTCTGTTCATGTCAATTCACGCATCCAACCCCCTCCCCACAACCTCCACAGAAACACATTAAATACGTAAATACGTAAGTAGATAAACGCGATAAATATATATAAACGATGCATTAGCTTTTACCTCAGATAATTGTCATCACTGTCAAAATTATAGTCTAAGATAATATAGTCTTATCGAGTCTGGACCAGACAATCCAGTGATTGACATCATGAGCATTGATCTACGCAACTGGGATACGATGACATGCATCAACCAAGTCAGCGAGCCTGAGCATCCGATCCCGTTAGTCGCATTTTACGGCAAGCATGGGCCGCTGAAGACCTACTCTACTCTATCCAGGATCTTGAGGGGCCTTTTGCAAGTGTACAGGCACTATTGGAAATATAAATTGCGAGGACATAATACAAGGATGGTCTGGGTATCAATCCCCATAATTAACTGCGCTTGTAGATCTCTGCGACTTTGGGTCTTTTCCCGAAAAAAGACAGTTTACTGGACGGCTGAAAAAACATTTACTTTTACGGTTACCAGCTGGTTACTAAGGAAGAAGTTCGTGCACATCCCTTACCAAAACGAGTCCAAAATGGCGGAAGGTGTCCTGTATCCTGCATTCATACTATGCCTTGTAGCAGTGTGTCGGTGTGTTAGGCATCTGACTATGTTTGCGGTAACGAAATAACAATGTAATGACCAGGCAGACTCTAAATGAACGCAATGCCTCATTCACTGGATTCCGGCGATTAGACGCTTAGATGCTTCGTAGACTGCAGTAGCTTCCGTTTGATAAAGGGCAATAACTCTATAGTCGGCGCTCCGATTGATTCCCGCGAAAAATGATCATTAACACTGTGTAGGCAATTGTCATTTGGCCTACATAATAGTTTAGGCAACTGTTTAAAAACGTTTCGGTTGGAACTACATGTATATTGACACACTATATTAATCGAACATTCCAGGAATACTTGCAATGTTTAGGAACCGATTGTGACGATAGATTTTAAGAATAACATTATATGATGAAGAGATTATATCGCGTGTGAGCTGTGGAATGAAACAAATCCTTTATTAGGAATAAACACAATATATGTATTTAGCTCATCAAGGCTCGCTTATCACAAAATCCGTCTATAATACGCTAATATAGAACATCATACAAACATGCATAATATATAATACTTACCATCAGAAAATGCACTCGCGTGATTGCTTGTTTTAACCCTATCTACATGTAGGCAAAACCCTTGACAAGTTGCTTCACCTGGCATACTCTAAACCCAAGTGGGGCCCATGTGTACATGCTGGTGGGGATGTTGCATTCTAGGGTACACTTTGCATATTTGAAGAAAAATGTTGCGATACAAGTATGAATACTAGTATACCTCACTGTAATGACCTTTTTTCCTAACAAGGACCCAAGAACCATATAGAACCCGTACAGATCCTTTACGAAAGACATGGTGTTGCCCTCACAACAACACGTTCTGGCAGTCGTACGTGACAGACCCGATCCGACCAAGCCAGTGACCTGGGATTGCTTGATCAGGATCGGGTCGATCACATGTGTTGTTAGTGAGTTGAAATCCCAGATAAACTCTCATTATTATATTTGTATGCCAGTTTATCACCCTGTCTGGGAATTGAGGGTGACATTCATTGTTCA